AAAATTAAACACCACAGATATAGATATTAATATAACAAATATCTTATTTTTTTGTGCCTTTCATTGCTTGTTATCAAAACCATTGCAATGTTCCGTGCAGCACTGTTGTAACTCTGTTACATTAGAATTAAAACAGTTTTGCACGGAACTTATGTACAAAAAGGCAAAAAAGTTAAACTGTTGTAGTTGTAATATTTATTCGGTTAAGCATTTGAAAGTTAACAAAGTTTTACAGGGGATAGATATGCATGTTTACAATCGAATTCCATGATTACTTCATTTTGTGTGAATTGAGTGTTGAGAGTGCGATATGTTGATCCGATGATGTGATTGGTCTGTCTCTGCAACTGGTATATTAGGCACTCTACAAGTACATTCTTAACACTTAGTGGGATATTACAGTTTTCACATAAAGTGGGATTAGTGAATGTCGCTAATAAACTCAGAGGATAATGCGACTATTTTGTAAAATAAAAAAAAGTTATATATTTTTTAAATATTATAATTGGATAAATATATTTTATATTTATAATCAATATAATAATTTAACTCGACGGGACAACTCAAGGGCGAACACTAATTTATCTGAATTTTGTATTTTAACACATTGTTAATTTGTTCTAAAAAATTTTATCAAAGGCGTGGCCTCAAATTTTAAAATAAAATAATTAAATAAAATTTTCCTTTCACTTTTATAATAACAATTGATAAGAAATTGGTACAAACAAGAAGATATAAAATACAGTAAGCACCACGAACGCAGTTAATGGTTTTAAAAAAATAATAATTTACTATCGAGTACTTCGAAAATGCAATAATTCACGTTATGATTACTTTGGCACGGTTCGGGATAAACCACGTATTTTTTAATATGTGGCATATAAGTTACAAACTTATAATTAGATATATATATATATATATATATATATATATATATATATATATATATATATATATATATATATATATATATATATATATATATATATATATATATATATTTGGGTGTGCAGCGGAAGATAGGACAAAAAAGTTCCCTTTTTAATTTACCAAGCTTTCGCAAATCTTTATTTGCATCATTAGGGTGCTACAATAAACAGAATTAGTACAAATTACAGAGTAAGAATTACTTTGTATCCTACACTAATTGAGGTTAGTTGTCTTGATGTTTAGCAAATGAAATTGGCAACTCATTTGACCCCTACAAACGATAGCCAAAACTATCTAAAACTATATTTTAAAAACGTTCTTTAACATACATATTTAAAACACATTTAAAACACATATACATAAACATTTAAATAAAATTTAAATAATTTTATTCTATACGCCGTATTCCATACGAATTGTTCTCTATTTTAATTTCATTCATCTAACGCCAGTGTATTAAAAACATACATAGTTAATAACTATAAAAATATTAACAAAAAATGCAAATACTTGTTAAATTTTTTTAAAACAGTTCCAAAGCTGAAAATATTAGAAAAAAAATCATCAAAAATTCATGGTATTTACTTACTGATAGAGCTTGGCGCTGAAGGTGTTAATAGTACCTTAAGAATACCAGAATTTGGCGGTACCCCAAATTACCTTGGAAGATTAAGGGTTAAATGCTAACTTTCCTAAGGCAGCATAAATTTAACTGCAGGATCAAGAATATTAAAGATGGGCGAATGTAAATGTATATGCTACCATTTTGCCTATCAAAAATATTCACGAGGAGATAGAGTTGTGGCTATATTTAAAAAAATAGTAATATTTAGGGTCTCTTTTATCCCTAAGAGAACGAACGTATTAGCCTAACGTCATCTCTTTAAAAACTATAAAAACAGTACTGAAGACACACATCAAAGTAAATACTTGACAGGTACACCACCTTACGAAAAAAAAATGTGCATATAAACCGAGCAAATTCACCACAATTCACCACAATTCTTGAATTGTATTGTCAAACTTTTTAAAAAGATAGAGAAAAAGAAAAATATAGAGGCTCTAGATAACAGCTCATAGATCAAGGTCTGCTTTCTCTTAATGGAGAAGAGATAGAAAGGGTAAATCATTTCAAATACCTTGGCAGCTGGTTAAATGTAAATTGTGACTCTGATGAAGAGATAATATCCAGGATCGAAATATCACGTAAGGCTTTTATGACCTGGAAACCAGTTTTATGCAACAGAAACCTGTCAATGAACATTCGTAAGAAGGTCCTGAAATGTTATGTGTGGTCGATCCTATTGTATGGTTGTGACACATGGACGTTAAAAACCACAATGCTAAACAAGTTAGAAGCATTCGAAATGTGGTGCTATAGACGAATCCTAAAGATATCGTGGGTTTCGCACACTTCCAATGAAGATGTTCTTCAAATGATCAACTCAGAACGTCTGCTCATAAACATCATAAAGAGGAGAAAAACAGAATACTTCGGCCATATAATTAGAGGACCCAAATACCATTTACTTCGCCTTATAATACAAGGAAAAGTGGAAGGAAAGAGATGGATTGGTCGAAAGAAACTTTCATGGCTGCGTAATATTAGACAATGGTGTGGTTTCACAGTAGAAGAATTATTTCGCGCAGCAGCCGACAGAGAAAGGTTTCAGGAAATTGTAAGCATGATGACGGCCAACGTCTGAATACGGACACGGCACCCAAAGAAGAAGAAGAAGATAACAGCTAGTCTGTCAACAATGGTTATCAAAAAGAGTTGAGTCGGCCGCTATAAAAACAGTTATAGATTGTCTTTAAGCAAAACTTTAACCTCATGTATTACGGCTGATATCGATTAACAATCTCCTAAACAAGTTGAAAATTAAAGTATATTGTAAACTGTGATATGCAATGATTAGTGAAAGGTTTATTGCTCATTGTACGCAACAATTCGTCCTTTATTCTAATAAAACTATTATTCCCATAGTTTCTTTAAGGTCTTTTGAATAAGAAACTACAAAAAATTGCGACTAATCAAAAATCGCTACTAAAGCAACAAGGGCACTTTGAGCATCCCATAAGATAGGACATTAAGCTCGAGGTACCACAAGAGCTCTTTCCGGCCGACAGACGGTATGGAGCGACGAAGGAGTTGAGCGGCTTGCCATAGTGAGGAACTTGTCGGGATATCGAGCCACCGGACTGGATATTATATATATATATATATATATATATATATATATATATATATATATATGTATATATATATACGTATATATATATATATATATATATATATATATATATATATATATATATATATATATAGTATACTGGTAAGGTTGATTGGGTTAGCAGCTGAATAATGAAAGCCAAAGTGTGCTCTTTTCAACGATTTCGTTATATTTCGTTAAATTTCTTTAACATCTTCAGACGAATGCTACAATATGTTACAAAATGGTGAAATTGTGTATTTTACATAAGATGTAGTGAACACTTACTTGTGTGAGGTTGCAGGCAAAAGTGGTATTTGAAAGTTCCATGTTGAAAAACTTTTTGAAAATTTTTTATAGCAAAAAAAGGAATAAGTTGTATGTGTTATATGGTGATTTGAAAACTTAAACAATACATTTTTGTTTTTTTCCTCCAGTGTGGAAGTACAATACAAATATTAAAAAACGTTGAACATTTAAGAAACAAACAGTTAAAACACAACTACATATCACATTCTCATTTTTTTGGCAGCTATGTTGGTGGAAGGTCTAGTCAACTAATGCACAAGGAGGTGGAAATCTAGTATGTACCTCAAGGTTGATGTGTCTTGTCAGCTATCATATTAGGAGATGTCAGCCAGAGAACTAAAGCTGTGTTCAGTTTATGTGTAAAGTTACACTTAATTGAAAATTATGTTATGTTAATTTAAGACAATTAAATTAAATTTTAATTATTGTTATTACTCTTAAAAATTTTATTTCCTGGAAAAATGCAACAATTGCAGTATTAATGATTAAGTTTCTACTTCAATTGGACGGTCAAAAGAGTTTTAATAGACAATATTATACTATTCAGAATATTACAATTCGTTGACTTGATTATTTTTTGTTTCCAACTGCAGCAGAAAGGAATAAATTTCACTAAGGTGTTGTATATCTGATTTTGTGTTGATTATATTATCTGTTGTTGCAATGTGGGTCATTTCTAAAAAAAGTCTTCTCTTATATGCTGTTTCTTTTTCGAGGATTTTGACATCTGCAAAATTCATTCTGTGGTTATGGGTGTGAACGTGGTTGGCTAGGGTGCATCTATCTGCGTAAAGTCTACAGTCACTTTAGTGAGTGGTAACACGGTCTTTAAGACGTCTAGAGGTTTGGCCGATGTACTTGCCATTACAGTCCATACAAGGGATGCTGTAAACCACATTAGATATTTGGTCATGAGGAGTACGATCTTTCATTTTTGAGAAAATAGAGTTTACTGTTAAAACTGTTTTATTGGCTATTTGATGTTATCATATGATTTAAAGAGTCTAGTCGGTTTTGGTGTTAGTTCCCGTATGTAGGGCAGCACACAAACCCACAGCCAAACCCTTCCAACATATTGTGTTGGAAGAGTTTGGCTGCCACAGCCAACCCAACACATGGTATCACGCCACCCACGTAAATTTATGTACAGATAGTATATAAAATACCTTAAGATATTTTTAGTTCATAAAAAAGAAAAATCTTTTTATATAATTATTATCTATAATACATTCCTTGCAAATATATTTTAATCTATTTTTCACTTATAATTTTCCTGTTATTTCTAAATTTTGGCAATGAACCATAAAGAGCCGCCGCGCCACTGCGAACTGAAAAACTGCAATATTTAGTATAACGTCCTAAAAGCTAAACTGCTTTAAAACTAATATCTTATTTAAATTTTTAATTAGTATTGATAAATTAGTTGAATTTTTTATCTTACGCTGTTGTCAGTAGAAATAAAAATTAATGCCAAGTTAAACTAAAAGCATTTTGGTGTAATTTATACAAACATTTATTTTGTGATTATTAGTTGTAGCAATTGTTGTCATTTAAACAACAAATGATGGCGTCCACAGTGGGAACCGTGAACGAGAATGAAACAATATTGATTTGCATATCAAAACTAAGGAAACTGATTGAAGGTAGGTGAATAATATTATTTTTTGTTTACGGAATAAAAGTTAAATGAAGTAATCACAGAAAAGTGTCATGACGATTGAAGTATGAAAATAAATAGTCAAAGTCGGTCAAAAAAAAAAAACGCCTAAAAAATTCATTTTAAAATTAGAAAATAACGCTACAATGCGATGGTTTTTTTTAATGGTTTTTGGTACGACCGAGAAATTAAAAATAAATGAGGGTGCATTACGCAGGGATAGAAAAAAATAGATGAAATGGAAAGAGACAAGAGGTGTGTTTTGTCATTTTGTACCCAACTAAATATTTTCCGTTTTTTAGGTCACTAGACACAGGCTACCTGATTTTCAGTATTATTTTTCTTGGTCTGCATGTCCATAAATCACATTAATCTTTATCTTGTTTGCAGCAACGCGAAGAAGCTGCACATATGTGTTATTGCAAGAGGTTCTAAGGTTTTTTAATCACGATGTTCTTTTTCTACCTATACCTTGTTGCCCAAATAGTTTTTGTTGCAGGATAACTTGTGAGTAGGTAATGTGCCCAAAGTACTGTAGATTTAAAGATTTTATGGTGTTCAGTAGCTTCCGATTTATCTTCATTATATTGAGGATCTCTTTATTTGCAATTTTTTGGTCAGTGCACAAACCCTTGAATATTCTCTGACTCAGCCACATCTCAAACGCTTTTAATATTTTGCACATATTTTCATTTAAGGTCCACAATTAAACACTATACAAGAGAACAGAGATCACACAGCTTTCTTAATTTTTTAACAATAGAGATTGTGGCTTTTTAAGAAGGACATCATCTGGTTAAAGGTAGCTTTCCCAAATGCGCATTGTCATCTTATTGTTGTTGGTCTACTCTTCATTTATTATGGTACCAAGGTAGTTCTTCTGTTTCTTCTTCTTCTTTTTATATAGATGCGACTCTGTCTGTTTTTCAATGTGCCTTCAGTAGGTTGTCATTTCATCGTATTTCTTACCCAGTTTTTTATGTTCTCTACCTTGCAACTATGTCGTATATCTGTACTTCTAGCTCTATTCCATAGTGTCTTACCATCAATTTTTCACCTCTGCTGTTTCTAACATATTTTTTGTCCTCTCTGTGTCAGGTCTTCTTTCTGTCGCGTATGTCATTATTGGTGTGATGACTATTTTGTAAATTCTGCCTTTCGTTTCTTTCCCGATATTTTTATTTGTCCATATTGTTTCATTAAGGCAGCCTGCGTCTCTGTTGACCCGGTCTAATGCCTTTGTAAGGTCCACGAAACATATATATTCCCGTTTGTTGTATTCTAATGATTTCTCTTGCACTTGCCTCATTATAAATATAGCGTCAGTGCATGATCTTTCGGACCTAAAATCTTGGTGTTCTTCTGTTGGAGTTATAATTTCATTCAATTAATTTGTTATCACTTTGGTTGTTAATTTTTGTGTTGTGTTTAATAAATTAATTCCTCTGTAATTTTCCGGGTCCGATTTGTCTCCCTTTTTGAAGAGAGATATTAGGATGCTTTATTTCCATTCTTGAGGAATTCTTTTTGTTCTATTATTTTTTGAATTAGTTTTAATAGTTGTTTGGTCAGATCTGCTCCTCCGTACTTTAGGCATTCGTGCAGAATTTGATCATCAGTTCTCCATTTTTGTTTTTAACATTCTCATTATGTTTTTGTTTGACGCAGGGATCACTGGGTTGTCTATTAGAGCGTTAAAATCCTCCAATGTTATCATCTTTCCTCTGACTTAATTTACTTCTTGTTGTGATTGGTACTAAAACGCTTCTCTTGTTGTTTGAGGCTTATTATTTTCTGGGCCGTATACTCCGATAATGTTCAGGTCTTCCTTCTTCATTCTTATCTTTAATGTTACTATTCTTTCTGATATGTATTGACACACTTTGATGTGATTGTGCCGAGGTAGTTGTATTACTTTATTCGTTTAGCTGGGGTTTACTTAACGCAGAATTGATATTTAGCTATATTTTTCTTGATAATTGATATAAGCTTTGTCTTTTTTACGTTTATATTTGAGTCCATTTTAAAATTTTAATACAAATTTTATACCATTTTACAAAAGAAGTTTTTACTTCACTATAACTTTTTTTAAACTGTGGTATACAGCCAACTACTCAAAATTTCCCTTGTATATTGTAGTATTATTATATTGTAGCGAAATTAAATAAAACGAGCGGTTCGAATTTATATAAATATATTTATTTATAATTTTACAATTCCGTACTGTCTTATCAACTAAAACTTACTCCTAACATTGTTACATATATATGTATATATACCAAAGTTACTATGTTCTATGTTACTATGTTACCATCCAGGAAATGAGACATACGACCAGATAGAAATAAGTCTGACAGAAGTCAAGAGAGCAATCAAGACAATGAAGAACAAAAAAGCCAAAAGACCCGGAGGGACACCAAACGAACTAATTAAAAACGGAACGGAAAATTTATTCCGCATGCTACACAGAATGTTCGAAAGAGGACTAAATGGAGATCTGCGGAATAGACACAAGCATACATCACATCCATATATAAGAAAGGAAACAGGAAAAAATGTGAAAACTACAGAGGAATTAGTATAATATCGTCGGTAGATAGACTTTACGGGGAAATTATAAAGAAAAAACTAGAAACTGAAATAATAGGAAAAATTGGAGAAGACCAAGCAGGGTTCACAGTAGGAAAATCATGCCTAAATCATACGTACACATTAGAACAACTGATAGAGAAGAAAATGGCAAAAGGTAGACCGGTCCATCTGGCGTTTGTTGATCTAAAGAAAGCATACGACTTAATACCTAGAGTCAAATTATGGGAAGCAATGAATGATCTCGGAATCCGACAAACACTAATAAAAGCAGTTAAGGCACTGTACAAAGAAAACAAAGTAGCTATTTAATGTGGAAATAAAGCCTACAATCCATTTAAGACGACAAAAGGACTTCTACAAGGCTGTGCTACGTCTCCTACTTTGTTTAAAATATTCTTGGAAAAGACACTCAAGCCATGGAGGAGAAAGTGCGAAGAAATAGGCATACCAGTAAAAGACGAATACCAATACACCTTAAGTTTTGCCGACGATCAAGTAGTCATCGCACAAGATGAAGAAGATCTCAGCTTTATGCTCAGAAAACTAGAAGAACCGAACCGAAGGTCATTCAGAGACGAAATCGACGAGGCTATGGAGAAAAGAACCCAACAGTTAGTTGGGGGCTGGAGAAGAAAGACCTGAATTAACAAATTTGTGATCGCTTTTGTTTTTGTAGTGTAATTTTGACATAAACATATACAAAAAATTAAAAGAAAACATATTAAATAACACACAAAAATACTTTATTACTTATGATTTTGGATTTGCTTGGGTTTTCATTATTTGAATATATATTTACATAAGAACTCGATAAAAATGTTACCTACAAATATGACCAAAAACCCACAATATAGTGGAGATATGTAGATAATTTATTCTTTATTTAGGCTCATGGATCAGAAGCATTTAACAATTTTTTATGGGCTATTTGTAAAAAAACTCAATAGAATTCACAATTGAAAAAAAAGCAACAACTGAACAATATGCCTGAATGTGTTAATCACAAAGGGGGATATAAGATAGTACCTATAATCTATAGAAAACAATCCTACATCAACAGATATATAAAATTATCACTTAAACCATAACAGAAATATTAAAAATACCATTTATAAACAAAAAATTCCACAAAATTAAAGAAAGAAAACAACAAAACAAAAAAAACACGTAGAAATGCTCACAAAAAGACTTTTGAAGATAATAATAAACCCATATGTAATAGGCTTATCAGAAAAAATAAAAAGTATAGCAAGATAAGGATAAAAAAGGGATAGCCAATAGCCAAGTACCAATCTAATCTATTCAAAACCAAATCTAACAACATCAATAATAGATCAAAAAAATGTTTTTATAAAATACCAATAGTGAAAGATGCAGTGAGAAATAAAAATATACCAGTATTAACGATTTAATACCGTGTCAGAGATACATTACATATAAATAACTACATATACACAGAAAGATCTAAAGTCATCCGAGGGTACAACAGCACCTTTTAACTTTACTCAAAACATTCTTTTAGGATCTATTCCAATGTGTCTACTGTCAAATTTGTATTACCACCACCGTCAATTAGAAACTTTTTTTTCATTCCTATTTCAGAAGCCAACGAGTAAACATCGGGCTTCCTACTAATAGTATTTTGAATAAAAACTTGTTTAGTTTAATGTGATTGTTTATCAAGCAAATATTGGTAAGTCGATATCAGTTAAATTAATACTGTCGACAAATAAAATTAGGCCAGTCGTTTTTGGCCATACTTAATATTTTGGCATCCAAAATATTAAAATCAAATATGGCATCATCTTCACAAACAGCTCAACCTAGCTTCGCTGCAGTAACCAAAATAACACAGAAAAAATCTACAACAGCAACATCATGTCCTAGTAGAACTCAAGCCATTGTTATGAACGCTATCCCAGACGTAGTACTATTTGATTACATAAAGGCAATCGGCGAAATTGTTACCCCTAAAGAAATAACCTTTGCTTCACGTATTTCTAATCAACGTATATGCATCTATCTTTCTTCCGTAACCGTAGTAGATAATCTTCTAAAAAATAATCCTACTATTTCGATTAGAAATCAAACAATATCTATTCGTAGACTTATCACTCCTGCAAAGAGGCTACTACTTTCTAACGTGTGTCCTTCGATTCCGAATGCACTCATAGAGCAAGCACTTAAAAATGAACTTGGATTACAACTTGCTTCCCCTATCTCGCATATCCGTTGTAGTTCTCCGGAAGACGAATATGCTCACATCTTCAGTTTTCGACGCTCAGTCTTTGTGATACCAAATAAAGAATACTTTGAGTTAAATACTTCAATTGTAATCTCATATGAAAATACAAATTATAGGATCTTTATTACTTCGGACAAACTTGAATGCTTTTTATGTAAGCAATCTGGACACACTGCAGACTCCTGCCCTAACCCTCAAGAAATATCTAGCAATCCCTCTCCAAATACAACTTCTAGCCAAAATCCAGTCGATCCTCATTCTAGTATATCTCCTCTTTCACCCTCCACAAAAAAAGAAATCTATTCAAATAACCCACCTACTGACATAACAACCCCAAATGAACAGTCTATAACACCATTATCTGTCCCTTCTAACTCTGGCATAAAAATAACTCATTCCACTGACACAAGTCTTGAATCACCTTCTCTACTGGTTACCGCTAGCCCCCTAAACTTAAACTCTAATAACACACCAAACACAACAACCTTCGCAACTCCTAAATCAGCTCCTAAAAAGAAAACAAAAACTGATGACAAAGAAATTTGTAAAATTAGTCTATGTGCCCATTCAAGTATTGAAAAATTAATTTGTGCGAATCCAGAAAAAATTTCGTTATCAGCATTACAAATAATTGCCTTCCTAGAAAATTCCTTTGGAAGTAGTGATCCCCTCAAAGAAGCTCATAATTTCACCACGAACATTCATTCTCTCCTCGAAGATCTTACTCAAATATACCAAACTGTATCCGATAGATCACTTAAAAATCGCATTACAAGAATAACGAAAAAGCTAAAACGCACATTAAATTCTATAGACGCTGACGAACTTACCAGCCTTACGTCCAATAATTCATGTGACTCTAACTGCAATGATATCGATCCTTTCTAAAATTACTTAATTAGTACAAGGTAAATTCTTTCTACTAACCAAATAAGTTTATCAAATTCACTATTTTACAATGGAACTGCGACGGATACTATCCGCGCCTTGAACACATTCAATATCTTATATCAATTTACCATCCAGATTTTCTTTGTCTCCAAGAGACTAATTTTAATACAACGAATATTCCTCATCTTAAATCCTTTGAAGGATACCACTTCATTAGAACGAACTGCTTAAGAGCCAGTGGAGGTGCATCTATATTTGCGTCCAGCGAAATCTTCTCAACAATGCTACCATTAATAACGAATCTTGAGGCAATTGCCATAACTACATATTGCCCTAATAAACTAACCATCTGCTCCATATATATTCCCCCAAACCATTCTCTAAAAGAAGAAGAGCTCCTAGACCTTATATTCCAACTTCCACAGCCGTTTATTCTCACAGGAGACTTCAATGCACATAACGTTATGTGGGGTTCTCAATCCACATTTGGACGGGGAAAAGTAGTTGAAAATATTATTAACTGCACAAACTCATGTCTTCTTAACACAGGATCTAACACTCATTTTAATATTTCATCTGGATCTTTCTCTGCTATAGATCTTAGTATTAGTGACCCTAAATCTGCACCTTTTTTAACCTGGCAAACAGCTGACGATCTCTTTGATAGCAATCATTATCCTATAATAATTTCCAACAATTCTAATGGGACTGCCTCTGCCAAAAGCTATTGGCGCCTAAAAAAAGCTAACTGGCCAGAGTATTCAAAAGCCGTTGACACTCTCTTGCTCGCGCATGATCATCTAATAATAAACGATGTAGACTATTTGTTAACGTCAATAACAGACACTATTCTTTCAGCTGCTAAGACTCATATTGGCAAAACATCATTCTCTCCAAATCATAAAGTAGTTCCTTGGTGGAACTCTTCTTGTGAAGAGGCGATTCGTCTATCCAAAAAAGCTTTAAATAAGTACCAAAAAAACAGAAGCCTTGAAAATCTAATAAATTACAAAAAATTCAAAGCCAAGGCCAAACACGTAGTCATAAAAAGTAAAAAATCATCCTGGCAAGATTACGTATCATCTATCAACGAAAACTCCAATCCTAGCCAAATTTGGAAAAAAATACGACAAATTCAAGGTCACAAAACTAATAATAAAATTACTCGTTTAATTACAAATGGTATAGAGATCGCTTTATACGAACTTATTCCTAACGCCTTTGCCAAACATTTCGAAGACAAGTTCAGAAATAAAACCAATAATATTGCTTTGTCTCATCATGACTTATATTCACACAGAAATCATCTGATATCATCTGAACATAGTAGATCCCTTAATTCTCCTTTCACTATGCATGAGCTAATATCTGCCTTAGCTAATAGTAGAAACACTGCAGCTGGACCCGATGATATTCCTTATGCATTCCTAAAGCACTTGTCTAATTATAGTCTTAAAAAACTCCTTAATTTATACAATATAATCTGGAGTTCCCATAAATTTCCATCTCAATGGAGCAAATCTATAGTTATACCAATACTCAAGCCAAACCAGCCAACTATGTTTCCACAATCTTACAGGCCCATCTCTCTCACATGCACTATGTGTAAGCTAATGGAAAAAATGATTAACAAACGTCTTTTGTGGTATTTTGAAAAACATAAGATTATTCCAAAGGAACAATCTGGCTACCAAAGACAGCGCTCCACAAGAGATAATCTAGTAATACTCCAAACCCACATCTCCAACGCAATAAATTGCAAGCAAGATTTGATAGCAACTATCTTTGATATAGAAGGCGCATTTGACACCATCTCTAGAAATGCAATCCTTGACAAACTTTTTGAATGTAACCTTACTGGCAACATATACGCATTTATCAAAAACTTCCTAACATCTAGATTGTTCAGGGTTTCTGTCAATAACTTCCTTTCTTCTCCACACATCCAATATGATGGAGTTCCGCAAGGTTCAGTTTTAAGCACATCCTTATTCATTCTTTCGATTAGCAAGTTAAGTGAAAATATAGCTCCACCAATCAAATGCGTATTATATGCCGATGACCTAATAATGTACTGTCATGGTAAATCCAACGCAACTACTAGTAAAATTCTACAAGTAGGAGTAAATGACCTACAAAACAAAGTAGCTTCTCTAGGACTTACCCTCTCCCACTCTAAATCCAAAGTTATTAAATTTAGCAGAAGAATGAGTTCTTTTGATCCGGAAATCACTATCAACAACTTCAAGTTACCGGTTGTTGATAATTGCAAAATATTAGGGCTGATATTTGATTCAAGATTAACCTGGAAACAACACATACAGGAACTTAAAGGAGTTTGCCTAAAAAGGTTAAATATACTCAAAACACTCTCACATTATCATTGGGGCGCGGAAGAAACTACTTTACTGAAAGTCTACAGATCACTTATCCGCTCTAAGCTAGACTATGGATGTTTCGTCTATATGTCTGGTACTAAATCAATATTAAATTCACTGAACACAGTTCACAATACAGCTATTCGTTTATGTCTTGGAGCATTCCGTTCTAGTCCGGCAGAAAGTCTGTACTGTGAAGCTAATGAACCTCCTCTATGGCTTAGACGAGAAAACCTTCTTCTCTCCTATGCTGCTGCAATTTCTTCCAATCCGTCCAATCCCGTATATCATCTATTTACATCATCACATCATACCCAAAACAGCCCTCCATGTAACTTAATTATACATCCTATTCCTAGTCTTCTACAACCGTTACTAAAAGATATAAATTTGTGTGAAACCAGAACTCTACCATTCTCCAATAATCCCTATTGGACCAACATACTCCCATATGAAGATATTTTACTCACCAAGTTTAACAAGGAAGATACCAGTATTAGTACATTAAGAATTCTCTTCCTAGAACTTATAAACAAAAATAAATATAACATGGTTCTTTACACTGACGCGTCGAAGACTGAAGGTGGGGTTGGATATTCTGTAACCACTGTACAACAGCCTATCGAACTCTCTAAAATCTCTCCTTGGTGTAGTATCCACACTGGTGAACTACTAGCTATCTTACAAGCTTTTAAATATGCCCAACGATATACAAATACACACATAGCCATATGCTCCGATTCGCTTTCATCTATACACTCCATTAATGCTATATCCACCAAACATCCTATCGTCCAAGATATTCATGACATATATCAGCTTCTTATAAAACAAAATATAACTATCACTCTGATATGGGTACCATCCCATGTTGGTATTAGTGGTAACGAAAAAGCTGATTGCCTTGCCAAAAAAGCCGCATCATCCACGAACACCATTATAAACATACAAATTTGTAATGATCTGAAAGCCAGACTAAAGAAGCTTAATTTATCTACGTGGCAGATTCACTGGAATAATGTTACCTCAGCGCTGCATGAAATCAAACCTACAGTGAACCGTCTTACCTATCCCAGTTTATCTCGAAAAAATATGGCAATCATACGGAGACTGCGTATTGGACATACCCGTCTAACTCATGGCTACCTGATGACATCATCTCCACAACCAAAATGTCAACACTGCAATACGACTCTCCGAATCAGGCATATACTTATCGAATGCCCTTTATATGCCAAAATACGCCAACAGCTCAATATCAGTACTAACTTCAAAGAGGTCCTAAACAACACAGACGAAATCAACAAGGTCATCAAATTCCTCGAGAATAGTCAACTGCTCAACAAAATATAAATGTTATATTACAAGTTTTTATTATTTTCTCTGTATGTTAGATGTTAACTACATTTTATTTTGTAATTTATATTATATTACCATGTAAATCGTAACTCGTGCTAATGACCATAGATGTCACATGCACGTTAATTTAAATAAAAAAAAAAAAAAAAAAAATTAGAAACTTTATTTTACAATTTTTGAAAACGACTTCTGGATTTGAAATCGAAACAAAGTCCAAACCAATGTAAAATATAATTCCGATTACAATCAACTATGTTATTAATTTAGGAACAATACCAAAAATATATTAAATTAAAATAATTAACTGAGTAATCATCTTAATTTAATTTTTAGGTTTGGAAATACTGGAAAATGTTAATCTAGAGGACAAGTATATTTTAAGATTTTTATACAGTACGTCTTTTAATATTGACGAAGCCTTCAACCGAGTAAGTAATTTTTAAGCAAAGCTTCTATACTTGCGTTGTATTACTTTTTTCTCTATAGTAAAATGCTTAGACGAGAGTCATGGACCTAGCGCCACAAGATGAAATCGTCATGGGTAGAGTCATGAGAAATAACGGTTCTTCACATCAATTCACTACTCTATATAAATTATTTTCTAATCATTACATATTTATTTTAAGCAGATTTAAATTAAAGGCTACATGAAAAATTTCTAACAAAATAGTGACATTAGGTCAAACGTAAAAAATTAAAAGAATATTTTTCAATAAAATATTCGATTTGTAATCACTGTCAAAATTTAAGATGACCTGTTTTTACAAAAATACCTTTCAAAGGATTGATGCTTATTTACATTTCCAATAAGTTTTTAGACAGTATTTGACTATTTTTGTATTTCGTCTAAAAATAGTGTCCACAAAACAACTTAAAAAGCAAATTAAAAAAGTTAATACATAAAATATGCAGTCGATCCGCCGGATCTTTCCACATGCATGACATTATTCAGGATATATTTTTTATGCTACGTCTCTTTCCTACTTACAGAAACTAAAACTATTAACTTAAACCGCCTGTCCATACACAACACCATGCATTGAACAAAGACAGCCATAGAACAATGATCTCTGATTGATTCGTCTACTGACAATTGACATGACAATTGGAAATTTTGTTTTGACAGAGTTTGAAAAATTTTTATAAATTATTTTCATTTGATTTAAATAATCAATCCTTTTTCATACTTTAAATATACGTATTTTTGAACAAACAGTCGTTATAACAACTAACCTTTACCTTCGTGTTCAATTTATTAAGGTAAGAATTCATGTATTAGCTAATAACGAACAATATATTTTTTTAACCTCTAAATTGACATTAATCATTTAAATATAGCTAAAACTACGTCAACGGACAATATACTTTAATTTCTGATAACTATGGTTTAAATATTTATTTACTGTAGATGTTATTGGACAACCTATAGGTTTCCAAAAATTGGAAAATCACGTTCATAAATGTATAGGTACCCAGTTTTCCAAATGCAATAAATGAAATAAAAAAGAAGTATAAAAACATCAATTGTAATATTAGCCATTTTCTAATTTTTATAATAATTCTTATAGCCGACATACGTTTGACTCACATGTTTTGATTTATTTCCTAAAATAAGAATAATGACGATGTGCAAAGATCCGGCGGATCGACTGTATGTCTATTATACTATACCACAAGCATAAACGTTAGTACTTTATATTAGTATAGTACAGTACCACTGTTATGTAGTAGGTGGTCTTCACCTGCTACATTTGTCTTCTCTTGGCCTTCTTCTTCTTCTTCTTCTTCAAGTCCCACTCCTGTCGGAGATTGGAAATCATTCTGGAAATTATAGTTTTCTCCGGCTTCTGTACACAATGTAGCTTCGCCTATTTTTTTTAATTTTAAAGTGTTTGTTTGTCCTTGTGTAGTGTAGTGTGTTGTACCATTTTATGATTATGACATTTTTATTCTTGTCGGGGATCTTGTAAATATGCTCTAGTTACACAATCTCTACACAGAGATTGTGTAACTACGAGATTTAACGTCTTAATACGCTTCTTCTGCCTTTGATTTTACCTTGTATTATATTCCTTAGTGGTTCGTATTTTTCACCTCCCATAATGTGCCTGATTTATATGGAATTTAAAACTTCGCATTGTTTTCCTAGTTGTTCGAAAACTTGCTCGTTTATTTTGCGATCCATCCATGATATTTTCAAAATACTTCGGTAACACCACGTTTCGAATGCTTTTAGGTTTTTAATGTTGGATTTTTTAAGTGTCCAAGCTTTAACCCCATACAAATGAGTAGAAAAAATATAACATTGAAGCGGCAAAACTTTCTCAGCAATCTAAAAGAATGTTTATTTGAAACGCAGAATATAAAGCGACTTTGATCAAAGAAATATCTAGCAAAATATGCGTCTATGAAATATAAACAAACTTTAAAATGGTTTACATTAACTCTAGCGACGCACATGGGATCGAAATATAAAATATATTTCGGGTATTTTAACTTGAACGATAGGAAATATTGAAATTATTATTTGGTGTTATAACATTTATGAGGGGATTTCATATATATATATATATATATATATATATATATATATATATATATATATATATATATATCAAGGAATTTACAAATGCTACAATATGATTGAGTTTCTCGCCGTCTGTTGTTACTTCTCTATGGTACCAATGGACCATCTTAAAGAAATACTCTAACTGTCATTACAATAAATAAAAATTAACTAATTACACACAATACTTCATTAATTATTTTGTTGCTGTTTAGTTCAAAGGATATCATGAAAATGTTAGAAGATATCCTCAATTATACCCTTTAACGGGCCCACTAGATCGAAGACCAATCATAGAACGGAACATCAGTACATTATTACCAGATTGTGATAGAAGTGAGAGACCTATATTTATATTTAAACCACGTAAGTGAAGCATTTTTTTATTCCCTATTTATATCATTATAATTTTGTCTTATTCAATGCATTAATAAAAGCAATCAAGATTTTGAACAAGAATAAACATTATTTAAGTGCTTGTCCAAATAATAACAGATCTCTAATGAAAGCATTCCCTCGCATTTTTCATTCTGCACATCCTTGTCCATCTCACGTAAATTGGAAATATTATCGGAAAGTTATTCAACAAAAAAAACACGTTAGTAAAATCGAGAATCGGTGACTATTACGCCACAAGTAAGCTTGTCGCTGGCTTATGCACTGAACCGCGAAGCGAAGCGCGGTGAAAAAGGTTGTTTTAAATTTAAAAGTTTAGTTAAATATACTCGCGCGTATCTGTGCGAAGCAACGCGCTGCACAGCGAAGAGAAGTGACACGAATCGCAACCGTAGAATCCCAAACGAAGAAATTCTGTTCGGCGCGCTTCGCATTGCACAGTGCTTCGCTTCTCTCTGCTTCTCCGCTTTTATGTGAGCGACAAGCTTAAATAAGACGAATTCACGTAGCCTAGCCTAAGCTTGCCACCCACGTTCCAACGCTGCAGTACGATTTTGTCGAATACTACAAAATTAAATGTAATTGGATCGTGTATTTGCACTATTAGACCAAATCGGCGCGATTTGTCGCCGAGAGACTCCCGCTATAAGTAAAAGAGCGAGAAACTTTGGTTACTTTGGTCTGGGCAGTCTAGTTAAAGCTCTCCACTGACGTTTTAATGGCGCAGTATCATTTCGTCGAATGCAATTACAGTACAATTGTAACGATGAGTCCAAGCCATCACCGTTAAACCAGCGTGCGCGCGAACCAACCCATGAAGTAGGAGTGTATCGACAGTAGAAAGGGCAAAACTTTGCTATATAAACCGCATTATTTCCTCATAGAGGCAGAATCGTCAGGTGTTGACTGAAGGTTCTCTTCTTCCCTACCCCGGCTTGTGGACGTGTTGAGTTCACAAGTTGTTTCCGTTCCATACCGTCATCCGGAGAGCGTGCTGAGCTCTCCATTACCCGTACTCCGAAGCAGTCGTGTTGAGACTGTCGAGGAGTGTCCTATTAACCCGAATCACTTAAGGGACGTGTTGAGTTCCTTTCTTTTCTTTGTACCTATCGTCCGCTGTTATTACAACGTTCACGTAAAATTCCGAAAACACACTCGATAGCCGATAAGACGAACTTCATACGACAAGGTCAAACTTAATTTGAATAAATAGGCCAGGTACTGAGAAGACTAAACTAAATTGTAAATATGTACATAAGATTTTTGTCAATTTAATTTAAGGAAGACAATAAAGTTTTATTTTTATTTTGAACTCTGTCTCTGACTGTCCAAAAGCTACCCGGATAGTGACTCCTACGAGAGGACGTCACAGATGGCGCCCGAGCAGAAAAATTCGTTTTAAACAATAATACCGACCGAATTCCGAATTTTATTTTCATAAGACAGTACTGCATTTCAAACTTTATTCAAATACAGGGTGATTCACAGTTCCAAAATGACAGACGCTCCGGAAACGTCGAAGGTTAGTTGGGTGTACCTATTAAAGAAAGACGAACTTATAGCCGAATAAACAAACAGAGAACAGTCGACGGAAGGGAATTTCAGCGAGCTAAGAGCGAGATTAGTTGCGATCATCAAGGTACCAACTCAAAAAGGTCAAAACCCAGAGGACATAGAAGAAAACCAGATGGAAGACAGACAAAGAAAGATGGAAATAGTACGCAAATGGGGGTTACACTTTGACGGTTCAAGAGACCCAATAGAATTCATAGAACGGTTGAAAGAACTCCAGACAGCTTACGGCCTACAAGACACCCACGTTTTACAAGCTCTACCAGAAACATTAAACGGGAAAGCATTACTATGGTACAGAAACAATAATAAATATTGTAACGAATTAAAAGACTTTGAACAAGATTTCCGCAATTTCTTCGTTTCCTCCGTTCTCACGCAATCTCTGGAAGCTCAAATCCGGAACCGACTCCAACGAAACAACGAAGGTGTAAAAGACTACATCATTGATATTCAAACAATGATCAGAAGACATGGTGAATTCAATCACCAAGAAGAACTAAACAGGATATACACCAATATGATTCCGAAATACAAGTTGTATATAAAGAGGCAAGACGTATCGTCAACACAGAACATCATCAGATTAGCGGAAGAATATGATATGGTCCAAAAAGAAATATATAACAGAAACAATACAAGGTGTGACTGGACACAGGCAAATAGTCGTAATAACAAAATACAGAATTTCGACAGACAGACTTGTTGTTGGAGATGCGGCCGCAGAGGCCACAATAGAAGAAACTGCAGAGCTATCGCTGTACTCTTCTGCAGCCACTGCGGAACCCGAGGAACAACTTCCAATAACTGCCAATGTAGAAGCCGACCGGAAAACTCCAACAGGACTGGACAAGAAGGAGGCAACCCAGTCAGCATTTAGAGTCCTCCCTAACAACCTCCAGCTACGCACACTATACAGATCAACGACCCCACACAACGATAACGTTCAGCAACGGTAAAAAGTTAAAAGCACTAATAGACACAGGAGCCCAAAATTCGTTTATAGGACAAAAAGGTAAAAAAATATTGGAACAATGTGGAACAAAAAGCGACAGAAAAGCTTTAAAGATCACGCTGGCAGATGGAAAAACCAGCAACATAGAAATCTGTTTTACAGCAAAATGTTCCATAGACAACGTTTGGAGAAAAGCCAAGCTACATTTTTTACCAAACCTAGCTTCAGAAGTAGTACTGGGAATGCATGAAGTAACAAGATGGGGCCTTGATTGATCAAACATCTTAAATAGAAATCGCGTAAGAAGGAGAGAACAATACCAAACCAGAACAGAACACAGATCCAGATCGTACAATGCAGACAATAGCAGAATACCGACCAATTCCAGGGTCAACGAAATGTTAAATAGGATGGAAATACACACGTTTTAATTTTGCAGTGCGAATTTTACTTTCAAATCAGTTTCAAATCAAAAACATAAAACAAAACTTTGTATAAACGAAGAAAATACAAGAAACGTAGGTGGTGGTGCAAAAATTGGTTGCTAAAAAGACATACATAAGTCACGTACATGTATTAGAAGAATTGCGATTATATTCATTCGATTTAAAAAATTACCTTCAAATAGATGATTCTACTAATGTAAATTGTTATCAGCAATAACACCTTTTATTTCGAAGCAAGGACACAGTTATGCGTTCATCAAAAACACCACATGAAAATCGTTCTACAACTTTAAGGCAAGTTCCAACCGTGCTACCCTTAGCAGTGCTTTTCTTTTGATCTTAATGTCAAGCACTTGTTGCCACACCGGTGTCGCATAAGTAAAGTAAAGTGAATCACTGCCATTTAAATTCTTCTTTTGGTATTCCCGGGTCTTCTTCTTTTTTTATGGTGCCCCTTTCAATTTAGTGGATGTTGGCGACAATTCTGGCATACAACTTTTGATCTTGTGTGGCTCTAAAGAGTTTATGAGCATCGAAGTTTGTCCAATCCCTTATATTTTTAAGTCATGAGTATTTCATTCTTCCGATGCCCCGTTTTCTTTTTATCTTTCCTTCCATAATAAGCTTTAAGAACTGGTACTTGGAATTTCGAAATAGATGCCCAGATAAGCAGTTTTTCTTCTTTTTATTATTGGTAGCAATTTTCGTTCTCTGCCCATTCGATTTATTACTTCGACATTTGTTGTATGATCTGTCCAGGTAATTGTAAGTAGTCTTCTAAAAACCCACATTTCGAAGCACTTCAATCGGTTCATCACATTGGCTTTATTGTCCAGGTTTCTACACCATATAGCAGTATGGAGTAAATGTAACATTTTACAAAGCGATATCGAAGAGTTAAGTTGAGGCTGCTGTTGCTTAGCAAGGTTCTCATAATAATAAATGCTGTTCTGGCTTGCTTAATCCTGCTACGTATCTCTATGTCTGGATCTAGATCTTTAGGTATCCAACTATTAATATATCTTAACTTAGGGACATTTTGGATGTTCTTATTGTTTACCCTTCTATTTAATTTCTTATTTCGTGTTCTACTAAACACCATTACCTTCATCTTATCTATATTAATCTTCAAGCCAAGTCGTTTTCCTTCAGTGTTTATTCTATCTATTAGTCATTGTAGCGCCTCTTGGCTATCAGCTATTATGACTGTATCATCAGCATAGTAAAGATATAATCCTCGAAGATACTGGTCCTCTTACATTGAACATATTCCTTCGCAGCACCGAAATTCTCTCCTCTGCCTTGCTTGCGACGTACTTCATGTGCTCACCAAAGGTTCGCCTCGCATTTCACTTTTTTGGCATTTTCCTTAAATGACAGAAAGTTTTTTAACAGAAAGACGATAAATGGGAAGATCACGAAAATGATGGAAAGACAACTTATTATAGATAAATTATTATTATAGATAGAACGACAATTTATTGGAAAAAAGACAGTCATTATCTACATAAATAAAAAAGTAGCAAAAAATAAACAGAACCAAGATTGTTTCTTGTACTTTGTTTTTTTTATGATACAGTACTTATTTCACTTTTTATAAAATACATATATTTTGTGAATTTTTATAATTGTTTCTGTCTCATATTGTAATTATATTTATTATTCTTTTTCCGACGACTTCGAGGTATCTATAAGAGGTTTCGTATATTTTCTAAGCAATTTTACTGTTTTTAATATTGGGTTTTTGATATATTTTAGGTAATACTAATTACAGCCAAATGAAATTCACTGAGCAGGCAGCGTTAGACGACAATTTATTCGAATATGTACTTGTCCATAACCCAGAAATAGCAGAAAAAGGAATATGTTATATTTTAGATGCAAAAGATCATTCATATGGATTTATGAGATGGTTGTCTGTAGCCAATATGAATATGGGATTAAATAAACTGAATTATTTACCATTCAAAGATTTTGTATGTCATGTTGTAAATCAAACTAACCTCTTGAAAATTTCTATTAAGGTTTTTTGGCCATTAATTCCAGAATCAAGCAAAAAAAATGTAAGTTCGTCTTTATTTTAATAATCAATCAAAAGACTGATAAGTTTTTTGTACACACTTATGACAAGTCAAAAGAAAAGGCAAAAAAGTATTTCTGAAGTGTGTATATTTTTAATAATTCCTAGCTGAGCGCTTTCGGCTTTTTTTAAGAATTTTAACAACTAAGTAATTAAATAAAAAATCAATATTTCAACAAATAAGGGAATGAGATCTCTCCATTGTAGTGGTATTTATAAATTGACGTAAGTAAAAATTTAAAATCTTCACCAATTAGTTATTTATAAGAACATTTTATTGTAGCATAGCTCCGATGATGGCTTTGTAAAGCCGAAAGCGCTCAGCTAGGAATTATTAAAAATATACACACTTCAAAAATACATTTTTGCCTTTTCTTTTGATTTATTTTAATAGTTTAATAAATTATACAACTTTATTTTATTTAATTAAAATATACATATTATGTAAACAAATGTTAATTAGGTACCTAGCTAACTATTTGTGGTTTTATTAAGGGGTTATTATATTACCTAATTATTTCAATGTTGTATCTTACCAAGGAATGTATGTTATGGTGCATGTTTTCGAGATGGCTTACAGTCATAACGAAGCGACTGCCTCATTTACAGGCTTAAATGAGGCAGTCGCTATTTAATCAACCCAGCTTGTGTCAGTGGCTTAATATTTATTAGAAAAAAATTACATACTAAAATTAAATTATCATAAGTCTTCTAAAGCAGCATAAGCTCTTTTTGGGTTTCAAATATACCAGACTTAAATGACAATAAATATTTAAATATTTTATAAAGGATTTAGATGCCACAGCTAAAATGATGCAGATACGATGAAGCATTACATATTATAGCTTATGCTATTGCAGAACACTTATAGTAATTTAATTTCAGTTTGTAATTTTTTTCTAATAAATCTTAATCCATTGAGACCAGCAAGTTTCACTAAGTAGTGAGTGCATCACCTAAACTGTGAGCCCCACTGTATATAAATAGTAGTCTGGAATGATTTGTTCCTCCATTGATCACCATTACCAATACCCCTGTAGAATAGGCAAATGAGGCAAAATACCTCGGAGTGATACTAGATAGAAAGCTTACTTTTACAGAGCATGTAAAGCAAGCAGTCTACAAAGCAAAAGCCCTAAAAAGTCAACTCTCTTCGCTAATAGGCAGAACGAATAAACTTCGTTTCAAAACAAAAATGAGAGTAGCTAACAGCATACAACTACCATCACTAACTTATGCATCTACCGCATGGGACACACATGCAAAAGGAATAGAAGAAAAGTCCAAATAGCCTAAAATTGAATGTTCAGAGAGGCATTAAATATACCAAAATACGTACCATTAGGATACGTATTTAGAGATTCTGGCCAGAAACGAATCGTAAGGACAATGGATGAAAGAGCCTACAACATCTTCAACGGACTCAGGAAACACCCCAATAAGATATTAAGAGAGTTGACAGGCTACGACATTAACACAAGAAGTGTGCACAGACGGCCGAAACAACAATTAACTGGATATAGGAAAGAAGAATAAATATGAAGAAATGGGATAGTCACAGAGTAGTCAAATCGACGTAGTTTAGACAGTAGGCGTAATAAAATTCTGGGACAGAACTGCTGCAGCCAATCAAGAGATGGTTGGTTGGATGAGTTTGGATGGCTGCAGCAGTTCGTTCGCAGTCTGACGAGACTTAAACGATGGTATGTAAGACCAATATACACCGGGGTGTGTCAGAGCAATATAAACCTGGGAATATATACCCCAACACACGCACACATTGTAGTAGGTTAGATGTAGTAAAAAATAAAAAAAACCACAAATCATATACACAAAGTGTGTAACGGCAGTACACACTTGGGAAAAGTAGTCTCTGTTCGGAACACACACTTTTTTTTAGGGACACCAGTCCTGATGTCAAGTTAGAGTAACTTCTATAGAGTCAGTAAAGTAAATAGGAAGAAAAGCCGATATGTGGGCTACCCCTACAGTAAGGTGGCTTAATAACAGTCAATAAAAACAGAGGGTGTCCCATTACCCAGGATACCCAAAGTAACTTTTAGATCATAAGCCTCATCACGTAAGTCACGGAGGGGTGGAGGAAAAGTCTGGAGGTCGAATAGGTACCATTTCAATAATGAAGTGTAACCGGTTAAATCTTCGGACATGTGGATCCCACTTTATAATGGTATACACATGTTTCTTAGGGGCAGAGTTGATCACATGTGTGTGTGTGTGTGTGTTGTTTCCAATGTTTCGTCTGCAACTGCAGCAAACATTATAAAAGGAGATGCAGCAGTGACTGTTATCTTCTAGAGCTCTGGGCTGTTGAGATTATTCGAATGTCTTCCGGGATTTGTTTATTTAAATCACTATCGAGAATGCGAAGCCACCATATTTTAAAAGGGCACTACTCTAATATTAAATATGTTAATATTTTGGCCACACATATGCTGCGAGACTCCACGTTGTTTCAAATGCGCGATCGAGCAACTATCGACACTATGTCCAAACAAAAAATATAAAAGTGTTCAAAGTATATTGTGCTTGTTAAACTATCTGGCCAACTTCAAGAATCTTCAGAAGAAAAATAAATCTTAAAGGGACATTTCCATTTCCAACGCATTAAATTGTTTGCATCTTCATAAATTTGTTTCATTTTTATTAGGAGCTTTTCAACAAGCTGCTAATAATTTCCTATTCGCAATATGATATTATAGTTAGCTTTTTTTATTTTTCTGCGAAGTTCTTTAGCCGTCTTTAATTATTTAAAAAGAGAAATCAAGTCTTTATCTGGCACCTTCTTTTTACGTTAAAGTAATTTAGTTTTTATCCATTGAACGATGGCGACTAGACATTAAACATAAATTGGAAGCTAGTCTTTCTATAATTAGACAGCATGACGAAAGTTATATAATTTATTTACATTTTAGCTAAGATTTCACGCAGATTGGGCATCTTTACATGAACATATAGACCCAGAAGTTTTACCAAAGGAATATGGTGGAACAAAAGAAATTGATTACGAGACTATACACAAGAGCTACTATGATATGCACGATGACATTCTGAGAAGTTACAGAAATATTCGACAAAGAAAAAAAAGTTTAGAGAAATCAAAATAGTTATAGGCTCGTGCTCAAGATAATACAAAAAACTATTTAAAAATATATTTTAGTTAGAGAAGTTGTTTAAAAAAAAATAAATTTTGTAAGAGTCGGTACCGATTAAACATCAGAAAACTATTTGACTTTTTTTGTACTTTTAGAATTGTTTTACGTTATTTCACAATATTTCATATTATTTCACATTATTTTTCATTATTTCACATTATTTCATATTATTTCACATTATTTCACATTATTCCATATTATTTCACAATAATTCAAATTATTTCACAATATTTTACATTATTTCACATTATTTCACATTATTTCACATTATTTCACATTATTTCACAATATTTCACGTCATTTCACATTATTTCACATTATTCGACATTATTTCACATTATATCAAGTTAATACATTTTATTCTGTATAAAAAATACTCTTTGTGACTACAACTATACTTTATCTAATTTACATACCGACGCACGTCATTATCTACGTCAGAGATTGAAGTTGACATAGTTGTCAAAATATAAAAAAATCCTGACTCCATTGTAAATCAAATAGATCACATAATTATTGTAAAAGTATTATCATCTCTTTACAACGACTATTTAAATTCTTACGTGACATTTTTGAAATAAAACACACTAATTTTGTTCTAAAAAGAACAGATTTTATTAAAAAGGTAAAAATATAAAACAAGAGGTATTCACTAAAATTCAAAACAAATAAAGTACAAAAAGTGTCAACACCGCAACTGTGAAATAAGTGTTGTCAATTTATGCCAAAATTTCACCTTCGTTCGATTACAGTTACCGTGTATTCCGAACAAATGTTCTTTATAAAAACGCTTTGTAATGCATTTATACAAATTAAATGAAACATATTATTGTGTATTTCTTCAAGTTAACATTAATAGAAATCTTTAAATATTATTTCTATGCGTATATAATAAAATATGTCTAGTGGCTGTAATGCCAGTGTACTCGGCAAAGGATTTTAAAAAAGAACACACCTACTGCCTAAATATTTCGTGTTGGTATCATGTGACGTCACGGGCTATGACGCCGATGACGTGCATCGGTATGTAAATTAGATGTAGTGTATTTAATTAAATGTAGAGTACTTGTATTCGGTCCGTGCGTGACTGACGCGACACCTACCGCCCTTATCTGACAATTTTGGACCTCCCAATTTTCAGGTTAAACATAAGACATATGTTTGACATTGTACATTATACATGCGGAATTGACAATTATTAATAAATTAGTATTTTAACTATATTTTTTCAGTTTATGTACAAAATAAATGTAGTATTAAAAACTGGGTTTCTCAAAATTCATCATAATATATATTTTCAACTCCAAACGGAAAAGAAAGGGAAAAATCTAGTACTGGCAAAAAAGTTGTGATATAAAAGCTAAAGTCATCTGCAGTTAGCTTGAAGCCTTATGAAATATCATTCAAAGTAAATTATTTAAATTTTTCCTTTTTCAATTGCATACAAGTGAAATTATCTGATATTTACTTTTTCATATTAATAGCACGAATTCATCTTTTTCTTTTCTCTAATTTATATGTAATCTTTGGGAACCTATAAAAACTACACTCACTGTTTTTTCTACTAATAGCACAATTAAATACGCAACATGTATTTGCATACATTTTTAATGAAATTTATGCTTAAAAATATTTTGTCCAATATTCCAATTTTGTCATATTTCGCCGCTACGTTTCAATGTACCCCTACCATGGTCACGCACGGAGCGAATATTCGAAATAAAAATTTTTTTATTCCATACACAAAACAGTTCGTCTCCAGAGATCTCTGTCTCTGGTCATTTCTTTTAATTCATGCATAGGTCTTTGGCATATTCCTGTAATTTGATCTATCCATCTTGTTGGGGATCTTCCTCGTGATCTTCGGCCTTCTACCTTTCCTTGTATTATGAGTCTTTCCATGTTTTCTGTGTTTGCTCTCATAACATGCCCAAAATATTTTAGTTGTTGGAGATGGACTTTACTAGAGAGTCGTTGGCTAACTTTTAGCTCTCTTAAAATTGAATTATTTGTTCTACGGTCGGTCCAAGGAATTCGTAACATTAGTCTCCAACAGAACATTTCAGTGGAGTCTATCTTTCTTCTCTCCGATTGTCTCAGAGTCCAAGATTCACATCCGTAAGTCAGTATTGGGAATATTAAGCAGTTGATCAACCTCATCTTTATCGCTCTTGAAATTTGACAGTCCTTCCATATTTTGGTCATGTTTGCTGTGGCAACTTTTGCTAGATCACATCTACGTTTAATCTCTTCTTGTAATGACCCTGTGTTTGTGATTAATGATCCCAGATATAAGTATGAGCTCACAACCTCGAACCGGTCAATTGTGGTTATATGTGGATGATTGTTGTGTAGTCTATCCACTATCATGATCTTTGTCTTTGATATGTTTAATTGCAGACCAAATATTTGACTTTCGTTTTCGATCAGTCGTATAAGTTCTATCAGCTCTGCTTGACTATTTGCAAGAAGGGCTGTGTCATCTGCGAAACGTAGGTTGTTTAGTTTATGACCATTTATTGAGATGCCCTTTTCCCATCCTTCAAGTGCTCTTTGCACAATATACTCCCCATGTATGTTGAATAATTGTGGAGATAGTATACATCCTTGTCTGGAGATAATTGAATCTGAATAATTTTGGAGATAGTATACATTTGGAGACGAACAATACACGACATCACGTCGACCACTACACTCCCCCTGGGGGGTCAGGATTGAAGAGACAGACACAAAACAGGCACAAACTGACAAAAAAAATAAATGTAAGTATGAAGTAGCGATATGAATAAAATCTGGTTCAGATTTTCTGTAAACTGTGATCAATTGCCACGTTAATTCGAAATGCTGCTCAATGAAGATTAAACGCGACATTTCTGCGTTGTTGATTTTGATTTTATTCAACTTAATTTCGCGCTTCATGTTGCTCGTCAGTTTAATTTGCTCGTATATATTTTTACATTCTTACCTAAGTTACAATGTCACACTGGTGCAGTTTTAAGAATAAAATGCAAGTGAAATAGGTATATGTAATAAATAATCTATTCAAAAATAGCTTACCAAATAGTTGGCACTAGTTAATGCTTTACACAATGCTTTACACCTTTTATGGTAGGTACTTACCTGTAAAAGAAGAGAAAAAGTATTACAATAAATTATATTTATATCCTGAAATGTATATTAATAGCTACAAAAGTAATCCCAACTTCACACATCAACCATTTCAAAACAGTAAACTATTAAAAATACGAGTCGAAAGAAAATGCAAAAAAGTATTTTTGAAGTGTGTATATTTTAGGCAATTCCTAGCTCAGTCTTTTGATTATTAAAAATACGTACGTGTATTTTTGGTTGCATACTAGAGATCCTAGAGATCTTGAAGAACTAGGCGATGATGATCCAGACGAATTGAGTTTTGTGAACTTATGATTGAAACATTTTTGTTTGTGAAACAAACATACATTCATTTTTCTTTTTCTTATGTGTTAGAGTTAAATAAATTTTCAAGTTTGGTCTTTTCACTATGCAATTTTTATATTTTTTAATAATTGACTCAATCAATGAGTGGTGCGTGAATTTGGCACCTGTGAGTAGAAAATTTACGAAAGACAAATCTAAATAACGTAAGTTTTTACAACCTTTACACTCTTTATAGGTTTCGAACAGTCGTACTTTATTCAGTTTTTCTTGATAATGAAAATAAACATTTTCGAAAGCTTGAAACTTAGTTAAAAGAGTACACTTATTTCACTTGTGAACATATATATATATATATATATATATATATATATATATATATATATATATATATATATATATATATATATATACTACTTCAGACGGGTTCAGTCGTTATGAATGGATTATATCTATAATCTTTACCCTTTGAACGTGTTTTCGAGTAATAAAGTTAACTTAAAAACACGCTACGAGGACTAGAAAATATGATTGTGATAAAGGTAGAAGATATCACGTACTCGTCCCTTAAAAAAAGATTTATGCCTATAGCGGATTATCACGAAAAATAATGAAGTATTATTTTTAGTTTTAGAGGTCAATGGTGTCAAATACGTAATTTAATATTAATACAAATCTCGTATCCTTTTTATTATCAAATATTTACATATACAAAGGACGTAATAATTGCAATATATATTGCAATTATCTTACTATTTATTTACACAAAGTACTATGACAAATATAGCGATTTGTAAAGAAATACTAACATTAGATGTATATTAAATAACAAAAACATATAATAATTATATAACTTAAATTAATAATTGATGGATTCGACCGTTACTTGATGGAAATACATTTTATGTAACAATAAAACACTGAAAACTTTGTTTTCAAACTTCCACAAAATTTATTTTAAATATTATCACTATAGCTGTTTCGGCTGATTGCCTTTCTCAAGTGATCTATTTTGGCTTGGGTTTACAAATTTATAGTCTAGAACTGTTTGTCTCAATTTGGTCATTCAGAATTATATCTGTACTTTTTAATTTGTTGATTTCCATAGATTCTAACAAAGATAGCTTAAGGCCTTTATTTTGAATGTGAAGAATTTTAAATTTGTCATTAAAAGAATGATTATGATCTAGAAGGTGAAGTGCGTATGTCGAATCTGTTTTTCTATTCTTGAAAGCCCTTTTATGTTCTGCTATTCGTTTATCAAAGTTTCTACCAGTTTGACCGATGTAAGTGTTTGGGCAGTCGCCACATTCAAGTTTGTACACACCACTTTTTATTTTGGCTCTTGTTATTTTTAATATATTTGCCTAGGTTGTTATTTGTTCGGAAAGCTGGTGTTATTCCTTTCTTTTTTATGTGTTTGGCAATTTTTGTTGTTATTTTGCCTGTATATGTAATCGAGCAGAAGGTACTGAGTTTTTTCGCTGGTGGTGGAAATACTAATTTCAGGGCCCTTTCCCTAATTTTCCCTCAGGGCCCTAATTTTCAGTGTTTTATTGTTACTTAAATTAATGCCTATTATTTTAAATCTTGTGGTAGAACTGAACGGTTTTTAGAAACTGTATAGTTTTCAATTATTGCAATAACGACTTAAAAATAGTGTGTTAATAAATACGTTATTAGAAATTATTTACTTTCACGGGATATTACCATAAATATTGTATTAAATGGAGTCGGAAACTCGCAAATCATGTTTTTAGATATCAAGATTAAGTGATAGATAGTAAATTGTAAATTTACAAAGAGGCTAAATATTTGAAATTTAAAGAAGATTTAACATTTAACATGACAGACGAAAAGAAGAAGAATTGACATATAACTCGACCAGAATAAGAAGATTTGACAAATTGACATGACCACTACCGGTTTCTAATAAGAAGGAGAATTGACACTCGACGCAAAGAGAAATATTCGACAATTGAAATGACGGCTAACTGCTGCTTATAAGAAGAATCGAACAGACTGTTTGTAGCGTCGGTAGACGGGACTTTATTCTCATTGGCCAGTGGTTTCTTTCTGACATTAGCTAGGGAAAAGAAGAATAATTGACATGAAAGTCCCTACATGAAGTAGTCTATATGGCACCCACAAGTAGGAATTCTTGTACTTGCATTGTCTAACTAAGCTTGGAATCAAACATAACACCAAGAAATTTAATTTTGTTGACGTAATAAAGATTTTCGTTTTACATAGTTAGCTGAGGAAGTTATAAATTTAGTTGCTTTTTAGAGAAGAAAACTGCATTAGTTTTTATTGTAGAAAATTTACATAACTGCATTGTGACCGTAATAAGAACACTAGACTTTCGTGTAAATTATTCACTCATATAAACGACTTTTACAAACAACAATTATCTGACAGCTCAAAGTATACTTCTCATTAATAAAATAATATTTGAAATCTCCTGTTATTCATGATATTTCAAATTCAACAACTAACCCCCTCTGTGGCTCAGTGGTAAGAGCGCCTACCTTTAAACATAAAAGTCGTGAGTTCGAATCTCATCTGGGTGGAGAAATTTTCGTTTATTAAAAATTAATTAATGAAAATAATTTCTATCCTTGTGCGATCGGTACTCATCGGAGGGACCGCAGACGTTCGGATACAATTACAATTAGCGTCTCTTAGCAAAGACAATGACGTCGACTTTGCTAAGTATCAAGACAATTACTCTACACACACACACTACACTAGGTACCTGACTGTACCATGCCAATGATCTTAGTTGCCGAGGCATTAACTCAATAATAAAAAAAAATTCAACAACTGTTCAGTTGCATTTTTCCAGAAACGGTTAGTTTATATACGGTTATTATTAACTAATTAATGTAATGTTTTAAAACAGGTCAAAAAAATACTTTTGTTTTTTATTTATTTAAAGTGCGGTATCAAAGTGAGTATTCAATAGTTAAAAGCAAAAAACTATTTATAACAAATCTGATTGTTGTACTATTCTTTGGATGTTAAAAATTCTTTTTTTTTTCGCTAATAACTATATCTTCTTTTTTTGGGTGCCGTGTCCGTGTTAAGACGTTGGCCATCATCATGTTTACAATTTCCTGGAACCTTTCTCTGTCGGCTGCTGCGCGAAATAATTATTCGACTGTGGAACCACACCATTGTCTAATATTACGCAGCCATGAAAGTTTCTTTCGACCAATCCATCTCTTTCCTTCTACTTTTCCTTGTATTATAAGGCGAAGTAGATGGTCTTTAGGTCCTCTAATTATTATATGGTCGAAGTATTCTGTTTTTCTCCTCTTTATGGTGTTTATGAGCAGACGTTTTGAATTGATCATTTGAAGAACATCTTCATTGGAAGTGTGCGAAACCCACGATATCTTTAGGATTCGTCGATAGCACCACAATTCGAATGCTAGTAACTTGTTTAGCATTGTGGTTTTTAACGTCTATGTCTCACAACCATACAATAGGATGGACCACACATAACATTTCAGGATCTTCTTACGAATATTCATCGACAGGTTTCTGTTGCATAAAACTGGTTTCCAGGTCATAAAAGCCTTACGTGATATTTTGATCCTGGTTATTATCTCTTCATCAGAGTCACGATTTACATTTAACCAGCAGCCAAGGTATTTGAAATGATTTACCTTTCGATCTCTTCGCCATTAAGAGAAATCAGACCTAGATCTATATTGATCTTTCCAACTGTCATCCACTTTGTCTTTAAAATATTGATTTTAAAGCCTCTCCGATAACTTGCTTCACTGACTAGATTTGGTAATGTTTGGAGATCTTGTAAATTTTCTGCAAGAATGGCTGTATCGTCAGCGTATCTAATATTGTTGATTACCTCTCCACCAAGTCTTACTCCCTCTTGTCTGTCATCCAAAGTCTCCCTAAAGATTTCTTCAGAGTACAGATTAAAAAGACTGGATGACCAAACACAACCCTGCCGTGCTCCACGTTTGATGGATAGTTTTTCAGTCAGACTGTCTCCAATTTGGATAGAGGCTACTTGATTGTAATATAAGTATTTCAGCAATCTTATATCATAGTGGTCAAGTTCTGCTGCTCGTAGACAATCGAAAAGTGTATCGTCGTGTACTCTGTCAAACGCCTTCTCAAAGTCGATGAAACAAACATAAACATTCTTTCGAAATTCACAACTTTTTTGTAATAGAACAAGCATACAGAATAGTGCCTCTCTAGTTCCTAGACCGTTTCTAAATCCAAATTGCTTATCACCCATCCTACTTTCGCATAGAAGGAATACTAGGTTTTGTATAATTCGTAGGAGTATCTTTTGTGTTTCACTCATTAAACTGATTATTCTAAAATCGTTGCATTTGGTGGGCCTACTTTTCTTTGGTAATGTTATAAACAGTGACTCTAACCATTCATCTGGCATTTTTCCTTCGTTGTAAATTTTGTTGAAGAAAGTGTTTAAGCAGGCAATGCTTTCCTCATCCAAAAGTTTAAGTCACTTAGCAGGGATTTGATCTGGTCCAGGTGCTTTATTGTTTTTGGCTTGCTGTATTGTCTTTTTGACTTCCGAATTCAGTATGCTGGGACCTCTGTCTAACTGATTGTCACAGGCGGTATTTGGAGCATTTTCTCTAGAAGCATCGTCAAAAAGGTCAGTGATGTATCTCTCCGATTCTTTGCACTGTTGTTCGTGATCACAAATTTTTCCGTCCGCGCTTTTAAGTATGTGAGCATTTTTCTCTCTTCTAATAACTGTACAGACTGATGTAAGTTTGTAAAAAATACACACCTGTCTCATTGTAAATAAGTAACACAAGCTTATGTTTATTTTGTAAAAAACAACTGCACTCTGTCGAGTTGCATTTTACAAAATTGTGTAAGAGAAGCGAAAAAACCTAAAATCTATAATTCTAATAGTTCTTATCAGCTAATTACGTTATCTGTTTAAAAGATTCATAAATAATCATAATAATTTGTATTCGAATTTCCATAGATATAAATGTAGTACGTATTCACGATGGAATTTTCAATTTAGTTTGCGATAAAGTTTACAAAAATGAGTGTGTGTGATAAAGACGTTGAGTCGTTAACAGAAATCGTAAGAAAAAAGATAAAAGGTAAGCAATTACAGTTAGTACAATTGTATTTTAAAGACTATAATAGCCAGCTTAAAAAATAGGCTATATTGGAATTTATAAATTATGAAATTATTTTTATTATTTGGCAATAATTACACAAAATAGTTAAAATGGTCTCTGTCAATATTTTGCTTTAGATAATTTCCCATCTCTCTCTCTTGTCGTTTCCTCATTGCTGAGGATCGTGATTCCCTACAATGCGGGCTGTCAATTCTCTCCATCTCTTGCGATTTTGGGCTGCTCTCATGGACTCGGAAAACGTCTCTCCAGTGGCTTTCTGTACTTGATCTGACCATCGGATAGGTGAGCGTCCTCGGCCTCTACGTCCTTCTACGTTTCCGCACACAATTAGTCTTTCTAAGTTCATTGTCTCTTCTCGCAATGTGGCCAAAAAACTTTAAAACATTTGCAAGACACTGAGAGGAGAGTCTGAATGTTTAGCTCTTCGAGAATCGACTGATTGGATCTGTGCTCCGTCCACGAGACGCGTAGCATTCGTCTCCAGCACCACATTTCGAATGCGTCAATCCTTTTCCTATCCTCTGATTTTATTGTCCATGTTTCGGCACCGTAACTAAAGATTGAAAAAACGAGTGTCCGTACCAGTCTCATTTTGAGTTTTTTGGACAAAGAGCGGTCCTTCCATATTTTTGGCAGTCGACTCATCGCGTTCTTGGCCATTCCTATTCTTCTGCGAATTTCCGTATGGCAGGAGGCTGCATTGCTTAAGGAAGATCCTAGATACGTGAACTCGTCTACATTCTCGAATTGATTTAGGGCGCCTGTTGTTTGGAGGATATTCGCGTGGTCCACAATCATGATTTTTGTTTTCTGATTATTAATCTTGAGCCCACACTTGTTGCTTTCGGTTTCTACTCTCTTTATCAGTTTCGACATCTCCTCTTCAGATGTTGCTATCAGTGTTGTATCGTCTGCGAATCTTAAGTTTGAGATCTTTTTCCCTGCAATGGAGATGCCGCCTCTCCATCCATCGAGTGCGTTCCTCATTATGTATTCTCCATATAAATTGAACAGGTCTGGAGATAGTATGCAGCCTTGTCGTACACCTCTGGTGGTTTTGAAGGTATCAGATTGCTGGTTTTCAATTCTTATTTTAACTGAGTTATCTTCGTATAAGTTTTTATTTAATATTGCCAAATGATCTGGAACTCCCATCTCATGAAGAACTGTCCAGAGAACTTCTCACTTTACACAATCAAATGCCTTTTGGTAGTCTAGAAAACAGATTATTATTGGAATTTTAAATTCGCGGGCCTTTTCTATGAGCTGCCGCATATTAAGGATTTGCTCTCTCGTACCCTTCCCTGTGACAAAGCCTGCTTGTTCTTGGGGAATTTGGTTGTCTAAGTACTGTTGCAAACGGCGTTTAATGATTCTTAGTAATATTTTGCTTGGATGGGAAATCAGTGAGATGGTACGATAATTACTACACTTTGTAGTTGTTCCTTTTTTATGGATTGGTATGCACAATGATGTGCGCCATTCTCTGGGCCACTTTCCGCATCTCCAAATTTTATTACAAAGTTTCCACATTATGTAACATCCTTTGTCTCCCATGTTCTGAAGGAGCTCTCCCGTGATATCATCGCAGCCAGGGGATTTATTCTTCTTGAGGTGAGTTACAGCTTCTTCAATCTCGGACAGCAGAATTTCAGGTTCAGGGTTGTATTCAGTGTTTTCGAGGGCTGAAGTGTGGCCTAGATTTACGTGTTCTTCCCTATAATTTCCCATGCAAAGAAATTTTTTATATTCATTTTTTCATTATTCCATTTAAATATCCTTTACATATCCATTTTTTTTACATATCCTATTACCTCTTTCTTGGAAATTTAATATTTCTAATAATCACTGTTAAGATGATTTTAAGCCATTCTCTTATGTCATTTTTATAAAAAATCACATGTGGGAGAAGGTTAAAAGAAAAAGTAAAAATTATTAAAGATGTAACAATACTCAACAAGTTCACCATAAGCAGTGACCACTGAATGATACGAGTGAAAGTCCAAATTAACATAAAAACAGAAAGGCACATAATGATTGAAAATACATCTCATGATATCTGGACAACCTGTTTACCAAAACAAAAACCAAGCCATACCAATCGTTACTTACATGCCAACTCTCATCATGTACCTTCACAAATTAATTCAGTCAATAATACTCTTTATCCAGATTAATCTATCCTGTTTCATTGATTTTGAGAAGACATTTGACAGAGTGCAGCATAATCGGCTTAAAGAAATTTTATTAGATAAAAACATAGACAGTAGAGACCTTAGAATAATCTGTAACCTCTATTGGAACCAAACAGCAAAAGTGAAAGTTGAAAACGAACTGACCGAGGATATCCAGATTCGCCGTGGGGTCCGCCAAGGGTGTATTTTATCATCCTTGTTATTCAATTTGTATAGTGAAGCCATTTCAGATTTAGCGCTTGCCGAGATCAGTGAGGGCCTTATAATAAACGGTGAGCCACTTAATAACATAAGATATTCTGACGACACCGTCCTTCTGGTAGGAACACTAGAATAACTGCAACACCTTGGTGAACAACCAAATATATATTGCAACGATTATGGACTAAAAATAAATTTGAAGAAAACCAAGTTTATGGTATTTACAAAAGCACAAAACATCAAAGTTAAGCTAGTACTAGATAATAAAGAAATTAAACAAATATCTTCGTACAAATACCTTGGATCACAGGAGCATGAATCACAGAAGATACTGATCAGACAAAAGAAATAAGATGCCGCATTGAAATTGCACGGTCATTTTTTAATAGAATGAGAAAACTTTTTTGTAATCGCGATATCAATATATCGCTCCGGATAAAAATGCTTTGATGTTATATTTTCTCTACCCTTTTTGTATGGAGTTGAAGCTTGAAAACTTAAAAAATCCAACACTAAAAACCTAAAAGCATTCAAAATGTGGTGTGACCGACGTATTTTAAAAATGTCATGGATGGATCGCAAAACAAACGAACAAGTTCTCGAACATCTAGGAAAACAATGCGAAGTTTTAAATTCCATAAAAATCAGGAAATTGGAATACTTGGGGTAAAAAATACGAAGTACGAAGGAATATAATACAGGCTAAAATCAAAGGTAGAAGAAGCGTAGGAAGATGTAAAATGTCGTGGCTACGCAATCTCTGTGAATGGTTTGGATGCAGTTCAATTGAACTATTCAGGCGCGTAACCAACAAAATTATAATTGCCAGAATGATTTCCAATCTCCGATAGGAGTGGAACTTGAATACGACCTTTCGTAAAGAAAATATCGTTTTCCGCAAATCGCCAGGAAATTTTGACATTTCTGTCAAAATTTCTTGAAGAAAAAGTCAGACCTTTCTTACTGTAAGGAAATGTCATTTCCTTACTGTAAGGAAATGATATTTCCGTACAGTTGTTAGTGTTCTACATAAGTTTGACAATTTAACCTCAATACGTTTCCATAGTAACCCAAGTAATTTTATTAGGAATTTCAAAGCACCATTTATTTGGGAATAAAATTATCGCGTTTTTTTTAAATCAATCAATATCTGTCGAATTTTAAACGATTTGCGGAAAAATAGTATGTTTACCTCGTAGGAAAAGCCACATTCCTGGACTCTGTGTTGCTAAGTCTCGGCTTGCGCCTCGACTTAGCAATCTTCACAGTCGTCCAGGAATGTTAAGCTTTTCCTACCCGGTAAACAATGTACTATTGCTCCACCCAATAATCAAAATCTTACTGTCAAAATCTTACCTCCTTACTTCCTTACTTAAGATATTGAGGACTGACTTATTTCCTTTTTTTACATACCTAGGTGTTATTTTAGATTATAAATTAATCTGGAATGATTATATTCATAATTGCATTAATAACTGTAAAAAACGCGTAAAGGCAGATCCGAAAATAAACTTAATATTCTACAGATTATATTTCTACCTGATCAATTTTGGTCTATTGTTTTATGGATCTTTTTATGGCGTATTTTATGAATCGCGACAAAATCTCGTTTGAATTAATTGAGTTAAACACAATACAGGCCTTAAGATTAGTCCTAGGAGCTTTCTAAAATCTACTACCACATCAAATCTTTTGGCAATATGTAACGAGCTGCCTTTATATTTTAGACGTCCATTTTTGCCAGAAAATGTATTCTTAAATCCCAGTTTATTAGTCAAAACAGCTTGTTACAAGAATATTTTTGGCTCTCTTTTGAAAATCTAACAAACAAATGGTGGGCACATGAAAACTATCCAACTCTAGCTATTGCTTTTCTCAATTTATTACATTCTCCATTTCATAAAAAAAAAGAATCCATTCTTTGGCTCTAACTTTGACATAATCTATGAGTATAAAACTATTGTAGTAATTCCTTTACATAGTTTAATTGTTCACGAAGATCTAGTAGTACGGGATAAACTGGAAGATGGTAATCACTCGTCTAAAATTTATACCGATGGCTCAAAATCGCCTGCTGGTATTGGGTGTACCATTATAATAAACAATATTCAGGATTATTGTTAGTATAAATTAAAATTAGATTTAACAATCAAAAGACTGATATTTTTTTTGTACACACTTATGACAAGTAGAAAGAAAATGCAAAAAAGTATTTTTGAAGTGTGTATATTTTAGGCAATTCCTAGCTGAGCGCTTTCGGCTTTACAAAGCCATCATCAGAGCTATGGTCAATTTTTAAATACCACTACAAAGGAGAGATCTCATTTCCTTAAGTTTCAAAATTATGATTTTTTGTAGGAGTTGGAATTCTTAAAACATATAAAAAACATATAAAAAGTCGACACTGGACTTCACAAACACGTTAAAAAATTGAAAAAATTTTTGTCATGGTACGGGTTTAAGACCCGACCATCTATTGATGTGAGGACGTAGACGGTAGACTATTCAGTCGCTATAAAGGGTACCTTAGCGTGCCTTAGCGAAGTGTGTGCCCTTATTTAATCCTTTTTGTAGTCACAAATAGTGTTTCTTATATAAACGGAAAGTATAAATAATAATATAAAAGTTAATTGTTTTTACTTATCCGGTTGTCTGACTAAATAGGTCTTGAACTTAAGGCAAAAAAAGACTTATTTTCTATACACTTTACCTACCTTATTTTACTTCCTCACTTATTCTTCGTGTTGTAGATGTCAAACATTTAATAAATATAAACACGGATGACATATACATTCAAAGATTTCTGTATAGTACTGGTTTAGATACAGAAGAAGCCTTTAAAAGGGTAAGTGCATTTTCAAATTTGATCACACATTATACTTTTAAACCTTAAATAAATTTTTGTATTGCAGATGTTGCTATATCACGAAACTATGGTAAAGATACCCGACTATTATCCCAAACTAGGCCCTAAAGACAAAAAGCATATCTTGGATATGAATTTCTCAGTAGTTTTAGATGAGTGTGATAAAGAAGGGAGACCAATTTATTATGAGAAAATGGGTACGTTTTTTTTTTATTTAAAATTTATAATTTTACATAATAGGTTTAAAATATTTATTTTAAGTTAAATACATAATAGTGGTCTCAACTACAAAAATTATAAAAAGAATAAAATTAACAAAATGCGGTTTGTATTGAAACTGTTTTATTTTGTTTTTGATTCCAATGACGAGACCTTAAAGAATAGAAATTTTAGGCTATATTCTTCTTTTAGTTATAGTATTAAAAGGAAAGGGCAAAATGTTATGAAATTAGACTTTTGTGTACAAATCACCAATAATCAACTTTAAACTCAAAATCGTATAATATGATTCGTCATGGAAGTCAAGTAGCTTGCAACTTAAGATACATTTTCACTGAAGCGTCTGTTGCGATTATCGCTTAGCGATAATCATTGCTCAGCAACGGTCGCTCAACGATAATCGAAACAGACGCGCCAGTGAAAACGTACCTTTAAAACTGTTTTAATAAAGAAGCAACACAAAAGCATGCAATGCAAATAAAATTTTCCCTTTCTGCTTTGGATTTTCAACATGTTGTTCTAAACCTCGTTGTATAGACTGCTCTATTGTACAATTAGCACTTGCCGCAGAATATATTGTACACCTTTGTCACATGCTTTTGTAAACTCAATATATACATATATTTTTTCATTAATTATCAATATATAGCACCTCCACTAAAAAAGAGTCACAACTCAAATAACGTTGTTTTTAGAAAATTGATGTTAAATATTTTAGATCAGTTGAACATATATTTGTCAGTTTCATGACCAAGTGCAAGCTGATACGATATTCTATTGTAAACTGGAATATATTAGCTCAGTGTTAATGGTAAGTACATTATTTTTCTTAGAAAATTTAATTTTTGCAGTTCGTAGTAAAAAAATAGAAACATGCCGATATTGTGACACTTTTTTAGATCAACATATTATTATCATCTTCAAAATCACGTTGTTAGAGTGTAATAAGACAAACAAAAAAAGCAGAAAAAAACCTTTGTATTTATTATTACAAAGAGTTATAGAATGCTGAATAACAACTGGGAATGTAATTATTCTTTATTAAATCCAAGAGATCTTTTTTTGATTCTGTTTAATGCTAAGTACTTTTGTAAGCATGTTGTAAGGTACTTGGAATGGTATTGTTTTTTCTTCGGCAGAGATTTACTTGCTTAAACCCTTTATCTTTATAGGAGGTTTTATAATAGAGGGTGGTGGGATGTTCGTGATTTAACTTAAAAACCTTTACTACAGTAATCTTCAAAGATTTGATGTCTGTCGTGCCTATATCATTACACAATTTTTTAAGCGAATAAAAATCCAAATAACCGAAATCATTTACATCGTAGGGTTCTTTCTTTTTTTGTCAAAAGAGTGATTTGCGCATATTGACATAGATAAGGCCAGATTTTAGAATTTTCTTTATAGCCTTCCCAATAGTTGAATGAACAGAATCACCTTCATTCTGACTATGTCCAATTATCAAATATTCATGGGATATTGAACATATTTTAGGGTATTTACCCACGGCATAAATATACATTGTAACGAAAATATTTTGCCTACCACATGGGATATCAATACAAGGGGTAGAAAATTGGGGACTGAAACTAAGGAGGTGGAAATATGGCAAGCAAAATAATCGCTACTTGTGCGAACGGCACTTAGGGTTTGTTAGGAGAGCTGGGGTCGTGGATAAGTAAAAGATAAGGGGGCTGAAATGGGGCAACTACAAAAATATGAAACAAAAAGTCTTGAATCTCTTGGAACCAACAAAGCAAAAAGAAACAGGAAACAGCTCTAGTAATTTAATATAGGGCGCCACTTGAGGTGCCTAATTATACCTATTACAACCGCTAGTTGTAACTAGGAAAATAATTATAAAACATCAAAAACTATTTTTTTTTTCAAATAAAATGAAAAAGAAGGAGTTAGTTAAAAAAATAAACAAAATGTTAAGAAAACAAAACAAATAAAATCAAAATAATAAGGCGAGCTGTCTTATGTTAACATTAAAGTTTAAATCTACGAACAATTAAATTGACAGTTAAAGTCAAAACCAAAAATTTACAATATTTAACATTACTACTTTTAAATTTTAAAGAAAGCAATTATTATTTAAAAAAAAGTCTGTCTTTACTTCAAAATTTGAAACAAAAGTTACCTAAATTCACCAAATCACACTTTGAATGTTCTGGAACCATAACTGCAACTAACTGGAACTAAACAAACTGCTTCAAAGAAGGAACAGCGAAATTGAAGAAGCACTTCAACTTGAACATCAGAATTGCTGCAGGCGACACAAATCTCTTAAATACTTTTTTAACCTCCTCTGTAACTAGACATACTTCACAATTTACTTTCCACTGATACATAATTCCAGAAAGAGGGGCCAAAAACGGAAACCACAAATTCGAAGGTGAATTTGTAGTTTCCGTGAAGAATGACGAAATTCTCTTAAGAATTCGTTCACTTAACTTGAAAAAAAAACAAACGCTGAAATAACAAAACACAACGAAAATTAAAACGTAAAAGATTCCATTTCCACGACGTATAAAAATTATAAACTACTCTAAAATGGTTTTTATTACTTGACGACGCTGAAAAGAACGAAATATTATTTGGGTTTCAAATTGAACGATACAAACGAAAGATACATTAAAAGATTTTTCAAACATTTATGAGGGGATTTCAATATATTACATATACGAGGGGATTTCAATATATGCCAAAAAATCGATGAATTGCAAATGCTACAATATAGCAACTAAAAATCAATTTTTTTGTTGGCGACAATAATTATCTGAAAAGAAAACAAAGTCAAGACCAGCTTCATTAATAGAAGTAGCCAGTTTTTTTTTCATGAAATTAAGTATCACTTCAATATTTCCATGCCCTTTATGGCAAAAGTAGCATTCCGTTGAACCAGACACTGTGAAGCTGTAACAATTCAATTTCGATTTATAATAAAATCAGATACAGTTCCTTGCAGCGTAGAAAGAACTTCTTGCAAGTCATAGACTGATACAATGTAATTGAGATTAGCCTTTGCTTTTTCTTGGTCCTTTCATTTCCGCGACAAATCTTTTTTTTTTCAAATGTAATACATACTTGTATTTCAGTAAGTCCTCAGCTTCTCCTATGGCATTTTCATATGCATCACACAACTCACAGCGATTTGTTCTGGGTATAAAGAAACTAATATTAAATTCTTTGTTAAAAATTTTTAAGCATATCACTAAATGTGCGTGCGGTAGATTGGTTTCCTGACAATTTTGTTTATAGTCATTAAATATATCACTTCAATTTTTTTCACCTTCGATTTATTCCCTGTTAGTTTTCTAACAAAAATAATGACTCTTAATACGAGGAATCGATTAAATGTGCTTAAGCATGCTCCGTCTTTAATCGATGGATCCACTTTTTTATGGTTTTGTGTTTGTTGGGCTGGCAATTTTGGTGTTTGCTGGTTGCGTGTCTGCTACTTGTGTATCTAGTACTTCAGGTATAAAAAAACTTATAAAGAAGCTTGTAAGTTTGCTGCTAGAGTGTCTGCAACTTTAACGTCTGGTACTTGAATGCTTGCTGCTGAAGTATTTTCTGCTTGAGAGGCTTACATTGTTTGAATTCGACAAGAACCATTACAACTTAGACCACCACTACTGCCTAAGTTAGAACTATCAAGTGATATAGAAGAGGAGGGCTAACTAGAGCTCCTAGAATCAGATTCACAGTTTTGGATCTTTTATGGAATCATCATCATTATCGCTTACGAAGTTCGAGATTTGAAGGTTGTACTTCAGTTATGGTGGAAATCAACCCGTAAGAAGGATATATCAGGCTTATTATTATGGTTATCGGTAGCTATAACATAGTTGGCGTTATCATAAGCAACATGTGCAGCATTTTCCTCTTCCAAAACCTGTCTTTCTAAGATTCCTGAAAAAGGCGAAATGTTATTATAGCTAAAATAAAAACTATGTTATTCAGGTACGCTATTTTTTGTATATTCAATTTTCGCACTTGATCTTGTGCATTACTATCTAAATTTAATTTTCTTTGCAAGGGCCATAATTTATTCTGCATGTCCTTGACTTCGATGAACTTGTTATGGAACCAGCCTGTTTGCTACACACAAAATAATAATAAATGAAAACTAGTAAGGATAATACATAGTCACAAATAAAAAAATAACAGTTAATAATTCTAAAAACCCGTCACATTTAAAAAATGTCAGTGGATTTAAAAATCGTATGTGCTGGTTCTGCAAAAAAAATTATTCCAAAAATGTTTTGAAAGAATATACTTACATATTCAAAAAACCTGGCTCAGCTCCAAATGTAACAATATTCCGCACCACGCAAAAATACTTTCCTCGTTTACAACTTCGAAATAAATATCACAACACAAGAAAGGACAATATTTTACTTATTGCTATAATTGCCATAATATTACACATAAAAGCTGTCACAATTCTAAATGTTATTCTTTTCAGGATTAAGCACTACGTGTCGACTGTTATAAAGTCAAAGGTAATACTATAGCGGAACGCAGCTGAGCTAACCTGCAAAAAAACAAAAGTGTGACATCGCCATCTTGCGGAAAATAGTTCAAATATAAGATTGACGCCTTTATGAAAGAAAAAACTCATTTCATTACTTGTAGCATATTAATTTCAATAATGGCAATTTTTTAGTTGTGACACTTTTTTAGCGGAGGTGCGATATATTTCCATATTATTCTTCAAGATTTGTTTACTACATTAATAATATACATTAATAATAATAAAATATTATATAACCTTATAGAGAGACTTGATCCAGCAAAAATGACTTCCATGGATGCAGTCCAAGTTGAAGAAATTTGGTTTGAATATATTTTAAGCAGGCATCCTGAAAAAGCGGAAAAAGGTCTCTGTATGCTTGTTGATGTCAGTGGGTATAACTGGAAACTTTTTAAATGGTTAACGCCAAGTGCTCTAACTAACGGAAGACGTAAAACGGACTGTATACCTTTTAAGGAAATACAGGTACACCTTGTCAACCATGCCATTATGGTGGATGTAGCAATTAAACTGGTGTGGCCATTTGTTCCAGAAGAACGAAAGAAAACGGTAATATAAGCATGAAACATATCTAAATATAATACAAAATTTATGTGTAAAATAATTGAAAATATAGAAATAATCTCTCTACTACGAAAATACTACGATTGCAGCAGAAAATACGGCTTATTAACCTTCTTACCGCTATAATCCTACAGGTTTACATTGATATGCGTTTAATTGCTGAGGCGTTTCGTTTAGAATTGGCAAGAAGTTACTTGCTGTAATTTCTGAGAGTAGGATGTATAAATTATTGCGATCAAATGGGTGTTTTTATAGAAGAGAATAAGTGGTTTTAAATCTTTATTTTTTTGCTAAAAAAATTATAGTATATTATACCTATTACTAGTTTAAAAAAAATAAAAAATTTGCTATTTTTGTTGGGAATATACGCTACTGATTATATAATTTAATTTAGGTGAATTCTATGCACTTTCGTAATATGCATCTAATTAATTTTTTTATTAAAATGTCACCTAATAAAGTTAAATATATATATATATATATATATATATATATATATATATATATATATATATAATAAATATTCAAAAAATTGAGCAAAAAAAAATAGGAACGCGCCTGATATTTTTCCCCTAACTTTTCTCCACAGGTGCCTAAATTGTTAAGTCATGTTTTCCATTTTTTGCGCAAAAACTGTTTTATCTTTTGCAAACAACTCTTTGCTATGCAGTTTTAGGTATATGTAATGGTACATTAAATAGAAAGAAAATAAAAGACAAAAATAAAGTAGATGGTTTAGGTTTGATTTCGTTACAGCCTACAATAATTCACTGATATGCATATTTCTGCTTTTTGGACCGAAATCATTGGAAGTTCTAACAAACTAAAACCGGCTAAAAAGGTAAATATTTGAAAAATATTTACAAACAGACGCTGCAGACTAATAAAAATATAAATCGGAAATCGAATTCAGGATGCAGCCTGCTGCTAAGCTAAGCGTTGCAATGCAAACAGACGACATAAGCACTGGCATGGGGATTTACATTGGTATCCATGCAATGCCAATCCTAATAATCCTTTTCTACTCCCATAAAAACAATATCCTCGTCTTGTTCCACTTTCCTCAAACGACTCATTATATATAGAATACTTACGAGAATAGTAAAGGAGCATACTGTTTCCATGATTAGTATTAAGGACTTTCTGAAAGTCAAAACTTGCGCAAATGAATGATTCACATGACTTAAAATTTTCCTAAGCAGTTAGGTGAATACTTTTTAAAAATTGCAATTCCCCTTCATGTTTCTTGAATTTTAAAATTTGCTCCTTACTTCGATCACATTCTGGTAAATTCTTAAAATTTTCACATAGTACACATTTATCTTTTTTTGAGACCTGAATACCAATATTAAATTTCTTATGAAATATATTCTGGAATACCTTTATTTATAATGCATTTTTATTTTTTTCACAAAGAGCTTTGTACAATATAAAACAGATTTTTTAAATATGACAGGTTGTAATTTGCAGTAATTGGACAATACAGCAGGAAGACTGGATATAAACGCTTCAACATTTGATGATAATTTAGGAGCAGTTTTGTTCTGAGGTATTTGATACCCACTGCAATCGCTTTTGGTTGTATTCAAGTCTGTTGTTCGTATTCTTACGAATACCCCACAATTTTTTCGGAGATATCCAGAGTTTAAAAATAAATTTAAGACATACTTTGCTTCGGATTCAACTTATTGGGAGATAAAAGTTTTTGTAAGTTTATGCCTACTGATCTTTAATTTGGCATATTGTCTTCTTTTAACGTAATTATATCGGTATATCGAAACGCAGGTTAGAATACAGTTTAAATATTATCTGTCTATGGAATTATCTGCAACTCTCTGGAATTGTATCATATGGATTCTGGCTTCAGAAAAAGTAGGTCTTAAGATTGTCTTCATAAAACAACGTCAACAACGTCTTCATAAAAAAAGACGAACAACGAGGAACATTTTAAATTTGGACATAACGCTAATCGCTTCTCACCGCGGCTTTAGCGATAGTAACGAAATTATCGTTAGAAATTGATCGCATAACTTAAAATAACAAAACGTAGATTATTAATTTGAAAACGCAGTACTTCGGGCGGCTTAAATCGAAGAATATCGAGCAACATACGCAGCTGCGAAATATATAAACAACCCTAAAATGGTTTATATTACTTGGCAACGCTAAGAGGAATTGAAAACATATTTGGGTTTTAATACGTACGATAGAAAGATACATTAAAAATATTCTTCGATTTTTCAGACATATATGAGGGGATTTCAATATATATAATATACGAGGGGATTTCAATATATACCAAAGAGTCAATGAAATTGCAAATACTACAAAATAAACTTGGAAAAAAAACAAAAATAATGACAAATATACCGAACATTAGAAAAATAACGTTGAACAACATAAATTTAGAAACAGTAAGCGAATACATCTACCTGGGACAGATAATGAAAGTTAACAAAGAAAATCAAACTGCCGAAATTGCCAGGAGAATAAGATTAGCGTGGGCAGGATTTGGAAAACTGACTTGGACCTTGAAAAGCACTAAAATATAACAGTAATGAAGGACACAACTGGAAGTAAGTGGCGCAAAATAGAAGACACGGGATTGATTTGGGAGAGGCCTATGTCCAAAGTTGGATTACTTAAGGCTGAAGAAGAAGAAAAAAAAAAGATTCTGGCATTTAGTATGTAAACACGTCACATATTTATATACTTAATATAACCAAAAATATGAAAAAAATTACCTCAAATCTTGGATGCAAAATCTTTGATAACAATTGTTGTACCCTTCACAAACAATAAACAAGTTTTTTGGAGAAATGGTAAACCTTTTTCGATCATTTAAACATACTTTAAGCACGTAATCACTTTCCAATGCCAGAGCAAGCTAAACTACGTTTGTCGTTACAGGTTACAGTACATCTCGTTTTATGCGTACCGCGCCATCTCACCTCCTGCGCAGTCTCTTCTCGATTCACTCTACACCCTTTGGCCTTTATACAATCGACAATATCAAAAATTTTTATAACAAATAAGAAAGTGTGTGCAGATTGGAAAGTTCCCGATGATACCTGCTTTTCGTTCTACTAACCATTTCAACAATATTACAATAGATCCGTGAAGACAACTCTATAAATAGAAAAACAAGAAAAATTATATTTTGTTTTGAATATTCTACTTTTTGTTTTAGATACACTGCCATTTTAACAATTATGAAACTTTATATGAGCATATAGACAAAAGTGTGCTTCCTACAGTGTATGGTGGCGAAAACGAAGTAAACTTTAAAAAACTTACTCAAAAACTTTATGATAGAAATGAAGAAATTTCGAGAAATTTTCAGCTGTACAGAAATGTAAATAAAGTATAAATATAATATTTTAAAATGGTTTAATTCTATACTCCCCAGCACAAAATTCCTTCACTCTAAATTGATGAAGTTTAAGAATTTATAACTTTTTTATATTTGTATTCTGATTTTTAAGATTCTTGCTTTAGTTTGTTTATTTTTCCAGCGGAAAAATTGAAAAGCTGATTTTGTTTCACAGACCTTTCGTGTTATCTCGAAGAAGTCCCTAAAATTTTATTTTTTAAGTTATTCAAATATGTCTTTTTTGTCAGAGCTGCATAATTTTATGTAAATAAAAACACTGGTTGACTCATAGACATAAATCTCTTGCCTGGCACGCCAATAAAAATTAAATGACAGTTAAAGCAATTTACATTTTCATTTATAAAAGAACTTTGGGGTTTCCACGTTCTACAACTCAAGATGCTTGGGATGTTTCTGTAGACTGGAAATTTCGCAAGACGCAAGGCTCTGGCAGAATTAGATGAACCATTGCAGCTAATGTTCTCTTTATCGTTGTTAGATCCTTGAGAGGTCAAAGAAGTACTGCTGTGTCTCATGTAAATGTAAGTGAAAGAACGATTTTTGAAAATGATTTGCAGTTAAGCTTCATTCACGAAGACCAACGATAGCACCATAACTACTTCCTCGTCATCTACAGCGGCGACTGGAATTTTCAAGATTACATATCCACTGAACTGTAAAATAATGTTATAGTTTACAGACGTCGAAATAAAGCATTTGTCGACTGCTCACTTCATAAAGAACATCATATCATGACAATTCCGTTATGATTTGGGTAGGCATTTGTAGTGAAGCATGTACTGATTCTGCATTCGTTAAAAATTAAGCTATAATTGTACGTCTCTACATTGAAGAAGTTCTCCAAGATGTGGTAGTTCCCTTTGCACCTTTTATTGGGAACCAGTTTAAATTAATGAACGATAATGCTAAACCGCTATGGGTAGCGGGTAGGAATTCCTTTGGGCAGTCCTACCAAGAAAAGTGAATTAATCCATACCATCCGCAGATTCCTTGAGTTTAGTGACCCGGGAAACTAGAACCTGTTTAGAGTCCCTTTGGAAATCACTTCGGATTTCCGAAGTGGAAATTGAAACGTCAATAAACGTATTTTAACCTTTAACTGAGGCTTATTCCCAGTTAAATAGTAATTAATTTAAAATGCCACAAGAAAATAGCTTTAGAACAATGGTATAAAAACGTAATATTAGTTTCAAGCCTACATGATGACACAGCAATCGACGCAGAAATAGGTAAACAAAAGAAACCTGAGATTATAACATTCTATAACAAGACAAAGGGAGGTGTGGATACAGTGGACAAACTTTGTGCTTCTTATAATGTTGCCAGAAACACCAGAAGATGGCCGATGGTAGTATTTTTTTCCATATTAAATATAGCCGCGATCAATAGTTATGTAATCTATTTTACAAATAATAACCAAAAAATACTTAAAAGAAAATACCTTCGACTACTTTCAAATGCTCTTGTGCAAGGACACGTCAAACGATGAATGTTTGACCCTTAAAAATTAGCTCAAAGAAAAAATGTCAAAAAGAAAAGCAAAATCAGGTATCGAGACAGTAGATTAGGACACAGCAATTAAAATGAGATGTAAGCCTTGTCAAAATGATAAACGTTCAAGGATCACGCAATTCAGCTGTAAAATTTGTCAGAAATTCATATGTATGGAACATTCAAAGCATATTTGTCCAGAATGCAAAACAGAAATATTATGTGTAATGTGCAATATCTACGAGACATCTGGAATTTATGACACTGTTGTTGTTTTTTAATGAAATTCAATAAAAAAATTTAAGAAATACAGTATATCAATCTTCCACCGAATATATTGTGTATTTATATTACATTTCATTACCTAGATCTTAAAATAACTAATTAGCATTTAGCGTATCTAGGAAATACGCGCGACCATTCTTGTTGGTATGCAAGGCCGCGACCGCTGGAAGGTTATTCAAAAATTTTTACTGGCGGAATTTTATACCAGGGTGTGTATATCAGTATTTTATGAAATCGTAAACTTATTAGAGCTTATATTTTTCAATCGGTTTATGTAAATATTAGTAATAATATTTCGATATAGTAAAAAATGTTTGGTGTATTCGATAAATAATTTTATATAGGTTTCGAAATAGAGTTTCATCTTTTATATATTATAAACTCGCTCAATATCAACATATAGATTTTGTATCAAAATGTTAAACAAATATTAAAACTTGTTTAATTATATGGTTATTGCATTGTTTTAATTGTGGGATGACTGTAATATTGATATATTCTATAAATTAATAGCAATATAAAAATAGATATTTCAATATTCACAATTCACACCAGTTTTAATAAGCTAATCGTAATTATAATGAGGATACTGAGAAGACTTGGATAACAAAAAAAAATCAATCAATACTTGAACGTAATTATGTGATCTGAGTACTCACACAATAATAGATGCTAATAGCAGATATGAATATAAAATACAACAAATTAATTTTATTTTATTTATTGTATTTATAATTAATATTTGAACTTACATTTATTAATATTTACTGATTTCTGGTTGTAGGTCAGAGTTAATGTTCTTTATTTTCAGTTGTAACTAATTACGGATTTCTTGGGTTGGTTTTTGTTCTGTTTTATAGAGATTTGTATAATATTCGTGCGTTATCTGTAAAATTTCTTTTGTATTGTTGGTTACCACTCCTTCTTTATTCTTTATGATATTAATTTGTATGTTTACCAGGTTCTGCTTTAAGCACTTCATGTTTCCTGTACTCTCCGTTTACACTCCTTGATATTTGTTCTAATAGTTTTGTTTATGTCTTTGTATTCTATTTTATTTCTGTCCCTTTGTTCTAGTAATATTCTTCTTTTGTTTATAACACAAATAAAAAAGGCACTCAAAGAAATTAAGAATAACAAATCTCCTAAATAGGAAAGATGGAATAACTGTGGAAATGCTAAAACATGGGTGGAACCCTACAGTGGAAGTCCTTTATGTTCTAATAAATAAAATATTGAACACAAAACAAATACCCAATACATGGAACGAACAATAACACAATTACTATTTAAGAAAGGCGATAGAAAAGATCTGCACAACTATAGGCCCATACCGCTACTTAATATAATGTACAAACTGTTAAGTAAATTACTAACAAATAGATTAACAACTAAGATAGATAATTACCAGTCAAGAGAGCAAGCCGGTTTTAGAAAAGGATTCAGTACAAGCGACCATCTGCTTACGATAAAAATATTAATTAAAAAGGCCAAATAATATCAAATCCCAATGTATATGGCATTTGTAGACTTTAAAAAAGCATTCGACAAGGTGGAACATTGGGCAGTAAAGAACTCTTTACAAAATGGGAGAATAGATTACAGATAATGAACAACAATCATTAAAACAGTTAAACAAACGGAACCTAAGATACGGCGAGGAGTCAAACAGGGTGGCACTATATCACCCAAACTATTCAATTAAGCTTTGGAAGACGTTATGAGGAAATTATAATGGGAAAAACAGGGTATTAACATAAATGGCCAATACTTGAATGACTTGAGATATGCAGATCATCATCATCATCATCATTCCTCAACCTCTTGCATCCACTGTTGGATATAGGTCTCCTCCATGTTCTTCCACTGTTCTCTATCTTGCGCCTTCTGTATCCAATTTCCGACTGTTTTTCTCAAGTCGTCCATCCGTCTTTTTGGTGGTCTGCCTCGGTGTCTTTTGTCTTCTCTAGGTCTCCATTCTATGAGTCTTTTGGTCCACCTATTATCATTTAAACGTGCTATATGTCCAGCCCATCTCCATTTGGCTTGTGCAATTTTTTCTATGACATCTGTCACTTTAGTCCTCTCTCTAACCATATGTTATTACTGGTAGTATGCATTGATTGTAAACCTTTTTCTTCAAGCAAATCGGTAGCGTTCCTTTTAGAATATCTCGCATCTTGCCAAATGCTGCAAATCCCAAGCCTATGCGACGCTGGATCTCACAAGTTTGATTGTCTTTTCCTATTCTAATTTCATGCCCTAAATAGATATTCATCAGCCTCATAACATCACTTGGAACTAAATTGGTCATGTATTTTGTTTTTTTAAAGTTTATGTTCAGGCCTATTTGTTCTATTTCCTGTTTTAGTTCTTCCATTATTTTGTGAGCTTCATTTAAACTCTCGGCTATAATGACAATATCATCTGTAAAGTGCAAGTGGCTTGACCAATAAATTTTTAATCCCCTTTTAGCCCAATCTAGTTTTTTAAAGACATATTCCAGAGCTGCAGTGAATAGTTGGGGGGAGATGGTGTCGCCCTGTCTAATTCCTCGCTCAATTCTATATTTATCGGTAAAGTCATGGAGTTTAACAGATGCTGTTGCGTTGTTGTATATATGTTTTATCAAATTTGTATATCTATAGTCTACTCGGCTTTGTTCTAATGCTCCTAATACTGCCGGTAATTCCACGGTATCAAAAGCTTTCTTGAAGTCTATGAAAATCAACGTGAGTGGTTTATTATATTTAACACATTTTTCAATTAGTATTTTAAGTGCTTGTAGGTGGTCATTTGTTCCATAACCTTTTCTAAACCCAGCTTGCTCCTTAGACTGATAGAAATCTAATTTTCGTTCTAAACGTTTTGTGATGATCTTGGTAAACTATTTTAGAGATGTGACAACAGACTTATCGGTCTATAATTCTCTAGGTCTGATATATCTCCTTTTTTGTGTATTAGGATAGTAATTGCATCGTTCCATTTTGTAGGGACAATACCTTGGTTTAGACATAGGTTGAATAGTTCAGTTACTACTTCCAGCAGTTTCTTGTCTCCTTCTTTAACAGCTTCTATTACTATTTGGTCATCTCCCGGTGCCTTATGCAGATATATGCAGATAAAAGGGAAGAATTACAAAATATGATGGATGAATTAAATAGCGAATCAACAAAAATAGGTCTACCAATGAATTTTAATGAAACGAAAATTATGACCAACCCACCAGAAGAATTAATAATTACAATTGTACAAACAGCTATAGAATAAGTAAAAGAATATGTATATTTGGGACAACTAGTTAAATTAAATAAAGAAAATCAGACCAGAGAAATAAAGAGTTGGCTTGGGTATCCTTCGGAAAATTTTCCTATATACTAGAAAATAGAAAATACCCCCAAATTGTAAAAACAAGAGTCTTCAACTATAAAATGTATACTTTATGTTCTCTCCTATGGTTCTCAAAATTGGACGTTTACAGAGGAAAACATGGAAAAAATAGCAAAGACACAAAGAACCATGGAAAAGCAAATGCTAAACATCAGACACGAAAAGAAATACTTGGATCCGCAATAAAACTAAAGTGACTGATGTATCAAGGCAGATAGCAAAACTTAAGTGGAAGTTCGTTCGACATACCATAATACAGAAAGACAACAGATGGAATAAGATGATTGATTATTCACTGGAGACTATGTAGTTACAAACGAAAAAGAGGAAGGCCACAAATGAGATGGTCATGTTTTTACACTTACTATACTATTTTCTAATGTTAATTTTTAATATTTCGTAATAATATAATTTTTCTAAGAAAAAAATGTTGTCGAATGTAAACGAAAAAAATGTCGAAAGTAGCAATGTCCAAATAAGTACTAAACTAACAAAAGCGATGACTGATAAAATCCTCTAACGTGTTTCAAATCACATGAAAATTTTCCATTGTAGTCCTAACGAGACATTGATCTTATTCTAAGGCTGTTATTAATTTACAAAGGTAAATATTTATAGTAATCTGGCTGTTTATATTTAACATAAATTCGCATTTTATCTTGTGTTGCAACAATAAATATGTGAAGTTAACATTTGTTGACCTGTGGATCAGCGTTATCTCCTTAAACGTGACGGAGACATCCCAAAGGCAATTTGCGTTGTTTTTAAATTGTTTCATACGATCCCCGAGCAGAACAGCGTACGTGGTTGTTAATTTAGTATTCCATATTATAGTTAATTAAAGAGTAATGGGCAGTGAAAAGATATAATGCCTAGTAACTCAAAAAAGGTGGTTCCTTCTCTTACGGAAGATCAACAACACGCTATAAAAATTTTAAGGAAAAGAATAGAAGGTAAGTCAGTGTTTATTTTCGCTATTTAGGTAATATATTTTTCATAAAAATATGTACTTTTCTTAGCTAAACAGAAGTTGAGGGTCACATGGACTAAAACTTATACGTGACGTTTGAATTTTCTTAACATATTCAATTACAATTGGGAAAACCCAAATTTTAAACTTTATCTGATATTTCAGCTCATTAATACCTGTTCATTAATTCGTATATCTATAAACATGGATCCAGTGTTTAAATTCTCTTTTAAATTTTTTATGGTTATATCATCATTTTACCCGGATCTATCCACTGCTGGATATAGGTCTCCCTCAGTATTTTCCATGTATTTCTGTTTTATGCTGTTTGCATCCAATTTTTGTCGATCTGTTTTATGTCATCGGACCATCTTTTTGGTGGACGACCTCTACTTCGATGTGCTTCTTGTCTCGGTCTCCACTGTATTATTCGCTGTGTCCATCTGTTATCCGACATTCTAGCTATCTGCCCCGCCCAGTTCCACTTAAGGGTCATAATTCTTTCTATGGCATCTGTCACTCCTGTTCTCCGTCTTATTTCCTTGTTCGTGATCCGATCCCTACGAGAAATGCCTAACATCGATCATTCCATGGCTCTTTGGGTAACACAAATTTTATTTATTACTTTCTTGGTTAGTGTTAATGTCTCTGCATCATATGTAAGTACTGGCAACACGCACTGATTAAAGACTTTTTTTTAAGACACATAGGCAGTTCTGATTTAAGAACATAGCTCAGCTTGCCGAATGCCACCCAAGTGAGTCCTATGTGGCGGCTTAGTTCGCACGTTTGATTATCTCTTCCTATGCGTATCTCATGTCCTAAGTACTTATAAGAGGTGGTTTCTTCAATATACATGCCATTTACTGAAATCTTTCCGCTTAACACAAGATTTGCCATGATTTGTGTTTTTGTGTGGTTGATTTTTAATCCAACTTGTAGGGAGGCTAGGTATAGTTCCTCCAGTTGCGATACTGCATCATCGATTCTGTCAGCAAAAAGGACAATATCGTCAGCAAACCTAAAATGACTAAACATTTGATGGATTCGACCGTTACTTGATGGAAATTCATTTTATGTAACAATAAAACACTGAAAACTTTGTTTTCAAATTTCCACAAAATTTATTTTAAATATTATCACTACAGCTGTTTCGGCTGATTGCCTCTCAAGTGATCTGTTTTGGCTTGGGTTTACAAATTTATAGTCTCTAATGAAAAAGGTTAAGTAGGGGAGAACTGTTTGTCTCAAGTTGGTCATTCAGAATTATATATGTGTTTTTTAATTTGTTGATTTCCATAGATTCTAAAAAAGATAGTTTAAGGAATTTATTTTGAATGTGAAGAAATTTAAATTTGTCATTCAAAGAATGATTATGATCTAGAAGATGAAGTGCGTATGTCGAATCTGTTTTTCTATTCTTGAAAGCCCTTTTGTGTTTTGCTATTCGTTTATCAAAGTTTCTACCAGTTTGACCGATGTAAGTTTTTGGGCAGTCGCCACATTAAGGTCTGTACACACCACTATTTAAGTATTTTTTATTTTGGCTCTTGTTATTTTTAATATATTTGCCTAGGTTGTTATTCGTTCGGAAAGCTGGTGTTATTCCTTTCTTTTTTATATGTTTGGCAATTTTTGTTGTTATTTTGTCTGTATATGTAATCGAGCAGAAGGTACTGGGTTTTTTCTCTGGTGGTGGAAATACTAATTTCAGGGCTTTCTTGTGAAATATGACTTCTCCCTATTTCATAAACCTACCCATACTGACACGACTATACACAATTCGTCATCCCATCCAACACAACATAAACTGGCAGCTTATCATAGTATGTTACATAGATTAACAGAAATTCCGATGTCAAAATACAACTTTGAGACAGAATTAAATATAATTAAGCAGATAGCAGTAAACAACGGATACAACGAACAAACAGTTAATAAAATGTTATATTAAAAACTACACAAGAAAGCCCTGAAATTAGTATTTCCACCACCAGAGAAAAAACCTAGTACCTTCTGCTCGATTACATATACAGGTAAAATAACAACAAAAATTGCCAAACACATAAAAAAGAAAGGAATAACACCAGCTTTCCGAACAAATAACAACCTAGGCAAATATATTAAAAATAACAAGAGCCAAAATAAAAAACACTTAAATAGTGGTGTGAACAAACTTCAATGTGGCGACTGCCCAAAAACTTACATCGGTCAAACTGGTAGAAACTTTGATAAACGAATAGCAGAACATAAAAGGGCTTTCAAAAATAGAAAAACAGATTCGACATACGCACTTCACCTTCTAGATCATAATCATTCTTTTAATGACAAATTTAAAATTCTTCACGCTCAAAATAAAGGACTTAAGCTATCTTTGTTAGAATCTATGGAAATCAACTAATTAAAAATCACAGATATAATTCTGAATGACCAACTTGAGACAAACAGTTCTCCCCTCCTCAACCTATTTCATTAGAGACTATAAATTTGTAAATTCAAGCCAAAATAGATCACTTGAGAAAGGCAATCAGCCGAAACAGCTGTAGTGATAATATTTAAAATAAATTTTGTGGAAGTTTGAAGACTAAGCATTTCTCCATTAACATCAATTCCTTTTTCACTCAGATTTGCGTTCTTAAACATATGCTTTAATAATGTTGTAAACAATGTTGGTGAAATTGTGTCTCCCTGTCGCACTCCCCGTTTTATTTTAAATACGTTATGTATTTTATCATGTTTATATAGCGATGATCTATACGGCACTCTGTTTGTGTCGAAAGCTTTTTCGTAGTCAACAAATATCATGACTAATGGCTTGTTATATTCAACACTCTTTTCTATTAAGTTCTTAATTACTTGTAAATGATCATTCGTGCCATATCCTGCTCTAAAACCTGCTTGTTCTCTTGGCTGAAGATTAAGCTCTACTTATGAAGACTTTGTAGTAATCGGTAAATAGAAGGAACATAATATTGTATTGATCTCATGAGAATAATAAAAAATGGCAAAAATCGGGCCACTGTTATTTATTTAACATATTTATAAAAACTAAGTTTATTTGCGGCAAAATACAAAAATTGCATAAGAAAGCTGCACTCTTTACCTTTAAAATGCGTCTTAATTTTTGTCTATAGGACACTGGAATCAAAAAACCGAATCTTAGCATGGAGCTAAAACAAATTTTATTGTACATTAATTTCGCGCGCGTAATTGACATTCAAAGTCGCCGATTGATTCGAGCGTTGTTTCTGAGAGAAAGGTTCACTTTGCACAAAAAATGGTAATAGACATTCTAGTTTAAAATTATCTAAGCTACATTTTTTATTTAAAATATTTTTGTTCTATAGGGTACAGATTCTTGGTAAATCGATTTTTGTTTCGTTTTCTCCCCCCTAAGAGGGGGTTTTAGGTGAAAGCCAGGGAGTTAAAGTGGTAAACTTTTTTCATCTTTTTTGATGTTCTAAAATTGACATTTTTGGCTAAATTCAGGTTGTTTGTAATGATTTCTAGAGATTTAGTGGAATTTTCATCTCTGACAACTGGAGTATATACAAAAGATTCTTATTTATACTAAATGCTCTAATATTGATAGAAATTACATAGGTAACACGGTTGATATGAGTGTGGTCTGTCATGCAAAATAAAATGGTCAAAAAGTTTTCTTGTTTATTTATAATAATAAAAATATTTTTTTAACATTATTAAAGTAATTAAAAATATGTTATAATAAACATAATAATTATGCTATTTTGTTTGACGTAAAACCTTAATCCCAATTTACACTTAACCTATTTATAGTATCACGTGCAAAAAAATTTTATTCTTTAACTGGCACAATATTTTCAGCAAAAATAATAAAAATATTGTTAAATAAAAAATTGAGGTAAATAATAAAAATACATATCGTTGTTTACATTTTTAAAAACGTTATTGCTAAGCATAATAAAGAGGAAATGTTTTAGCTAAGAAGAAGATGACGTTAATCAGTAACATCATCTCAAAGTGAACAATTGAACTTTTACATTACTAGATAATAAAGGTACCATTGGTGCGATAGGATATTTAATTGACACTTTTTTTACTTAAAGTAACGTTGTTAAAACCATAGGTTCCTTTTGTGTTTTATGGGGATTTTACTGAAGACCTACGAAAAGGCTATTTGGAATCTGTAATTATATTGATATTTAATTCTACGTATCATAAGTAGGTCGTAGAACATTGTTTTTACTGTCAAACTTTGTGCCATCAATATAATTTCTCCCGATCTTCATCGGGAGATGACTTATTTTTGTATACCGGTATTTATCAACATGCCTTTGCGTGTTTTTAAATACGACATTTTGGCATGCTAACCCATAGTTTTGATTGCGTAGCTATCTATATTGCTCTGATAATCACAGAGTTAGTCATCATCATCCAGCCTTGTAGTGCTGGACATAGGCATCTCTTAAACTTTTCTTGTTGTCAATTTTTGGTAATACGCCTGATGTCGTTAGCCCAATATGTAGGCGGTTTGATCTACTACATTTGTCTGCTTTTGGTCTCCAATGTGTAATTTGGCTCGTCTATCGAGAGTCGTGCATTTATGGCCTGTCAGTTTCATTTTAGTTCTGCTAGGCGTTCCACACCATCAGCAATACTTGTCCTTCTTCGCAGATCTTCGTTTCTTATTTAGTCCCACATCGGCACTCTGTTTCACTCGTCTTTGTGCCACTCTCAATTTCGAGATACCGAGACCCAATAGTCTTGGTTAGAGTCATAGTCACCGCCCCATCGGTTACGACCGATAATACACATTGATCAAATACTTTTATCTTTAGGCTAATTGGTATGTTGGCCCTAAGTGTATCTCGCAGTTTTCCAAAGGCTGCCCACGCTAAAGTAATTTGTCTTTAGATTTCGCATATTTGGTTATCCCTGCTAATTCTTATTTCATGACCCAAATACGTACATTTCTCCACCAGTTCTATCACTTTGTCTTAAATAGGTAAATGGTTATTGGGGATCATATTTGTCATAAACTTAGTTTTGGTCAAGTTCATTATGAGGCCTATCGTCGAACATGCAAAGTCCAATTCATTTAACATATCTGTGGCTTCTCCTTAATTATTTGTGATAATAACAATGTCATCTGCGAAATGGAGATGGTTAAGCCTTTCGCCGTCTATTGTTACTCCTCTGTGGTCCCAATTTATCATCTTAAGTGCGCAATCTAGTGTCGTTATGAATAATGTTGGTGACCATGTATCTTCTTGCTTTATCCCACGTTTAATTGTAATTGATGGGATTTTATTATGTATCTTAACAGTCGTAGTGACATTTTTGTAAATATTGTAAATAATTTTACTATACCTATGACCAATCCTGCTGTCATTCATTGCTTCTATAAGGTTGTCTATTTCGTTCGTGTCGAACGCTTTATAAAAATCTATGATAGTGAAGACAAGAGGTTTGTTGTATTCTATAGATTTTTAATGACTGTTTTTACTGTATGGAGGTTATCATTTGTACCATAATTTGAATGAAACCCTGCCTGCTCTCTCGGTTGGTAGAAATCTAATTTTTTTCCAATCTTGATGTCACTAACCTAGTGAAAATCTTGTGTATAAGGTTCAACAGGCTAATAGGTCTATAATGGTTTTAGGGCCGTTATATTTCCTTGTTTATGCAAAATGGTGGTTAGAGCATTGTTTAATTTTTTGGGCACCACTAGAGTGGTAAGAAGATAAAACGGTTTTCTTAATTTAGTTAATGGCATCTTTCTTCCATTTACGACAGCTTCTATTACAATTCCATCCTCTCCTGGAGCCTTGTGATTCCTTGATTCATGATCTTTGTTAAAATGGCTGTTTGTATTGCTGTTTGATCTTCTGGTCTACTTTCATATAATTCCTCGTAAAACTCTTCGACCTGAATTAACTCGTCTCTATGTGATATTATTCCATTTGGTTGATCCATTCCTTAGCTTACTACGTAAAAATTTTAGGCTGTTATTTTTTTCTATAGTGCGTTTAATATATTGTTGTTTGTTTGTGTTTAAATGACTGCGGACACTAAATACATTCGCCAATCTTACAATTTGAGGTGTAGTGTGTGTGTGTGTGTGTGTGTGTGTGTGTGTGTGTGTGTGTGTGTGTGTGTGTGTGTGTGTGTGTAGAGTAATTGTCTTGATACTTAGCAAAGTCGACGTCATTGTCTTTGCTAAGAGACGCTAATTGTATCCGAACGTCTGCGGTCCCTCCGGTGTGTACCGATCACACAAGGATAGAAATTATTTTCATTTATTAATTTTTTTAATAAACGAAAATTTCCACCCAGGTGGGATTCGAACTCACGACCTTTAGGTTTAAAGGCAGGCGCTCTTACCACTGAGCCACAGAGGGGGTCACGCGTTTAATATAATCAATCAGTTCTAAATTTCCCTAAATCTCTTCTGATTGCATTCGAAACAGTTTTATTTATTTCTCTTAGAGTGTGACTGTCTGCATTCTTATCGCTTCTTATTTGTCTTCTTTTATCCAGCAGCGTTGCAGTATATGAACTTATTTTATTATTTGATTTTCTTTTAGGACAGTGCACTCGGTAACTTTCTTGTGAGTCGTTTATGATGCAATTCAAGTAGTTATGATGCTCGGAGGTTTCATGCAGTAGTAGTTTATTATTCATATGTTTCTGATATTTCTTTTTCTCTTTTTATGTTGATTTAGACTTTCGCTCGTATCATTCTGTGGTTATTGATTGTGGATAACATGTTGAGTACTATTACATATTTATTAGAGTTATCTCTAACAGGGTTTATTCTAACAGAGTTAGTATGATTTCATAATTTTGAAAATAAAAAACACCAAAATCTTTCCATAATTTTAATTATAGGGCTTTTGGACCTTGCACCACAAGCCTGTCTTGTAGCAATTGAAAACTTTGCGAAAGTTTATATTCCTTAGCCAATTTAATTTTCTAGAACTTCATTTAAAAACACTTTGCAGTACTTTTTCTATTAAGGATAGCTCAAAAAACGCTTATAGTATTGTTAGTGACGATGAATCTTGTATTTACTCCTAAAAACCCGAAAATTAACGACAATCCGCTGTGTGGGTATTTTCTTTACGTTTCCAAAGATCAAGAATTTATTGCGTGGGTAGCGTTTCCAGTCGCCACAAAAAATGGATGATTCAAAACAGTGATTTTGCAGGTGTAAACTAAAGACTGGAATATTTGTTTTTCCTATTGGTGTTAAACGTATTCAAAAGTGTATCGGCAACAAAGTCGGAACCCAGCGGATAAAACGTTTTACAATCGCTTAACCAATAAATTGAAAGCACAACTAAAAATTGCAAGAAAAGAGTCAGTCAAAAAATATGTAACACAACTTAATAGATACTACCATTCAATATGAAAATCAATCAAATCATCCTTAAAACCTCAAGTAATATCGCCACCAGTAAGAAAAACCACAGACACGCAGAAACAATGGGCAAGAAGTGATAAAATAAATGAAAACAAGTCAACCCACGTAACCTTCACTTTACGACGAGAAACACCACCACCAATATATATCAATAATGAGGAAATACCCAGGACTAAAACAACCAAATACCTAGGGCTACACCTGGACCAAACCCTGTGTTGGAAAGAACACATCATCAAAAAAGAAAACAAATACAACTAAGACAGAAAAAAATCAATTAATTAATTGGAAAAAACTGCAAGCTGTCAATAAATATTAAAATTCTAATTTATAAAACAGTTATCAAACCAATAAGGACATATGACATGAAGTTGTAGAGCTGTAAGTAGTAAGTCTAATATTGCTAATATGAAAAGATGCCAATCAAAAATCTTAAGAGCATTCTTCATGCACCCTGGTACGTAACCAACCAAATAATCTATGAGGATCTTAATATCTCAACAGTAAAAGAAGTATACCAGCAAAAGAAATACAATACATTCAAAAAGTGAACACACACTCCAATCCATTAATTTTTGCAACACCCCAACATCGAGTGATCAGAAGACTAAAGCGACGTTGGCCAACCAGTAACATGGACCCGTCATTCTCTCATTGGAGGAGACCACGTCACGTCAGAACTAAGGGACAGGACCTAAACTCATCACATTAACTTAAAGAATATACTGTTTTATTCTGATTATTAATTTGTTAGTTAGAATAAAAAAGTGTATCGATGTTGCTGGGACATATTTTAAAAAGTCTATATATTTTTTGTCTTTATGGCAATATGCAAAACTGAAAAGACAACCCTCGTAACTATCAATTTCGTTTTTTTATTTTGTTGTCTAAACTTGTTTTTAAAGAAAATTATTATTTAATTATTTTTTTACAGCTAAAAATAAGTATTTTAAGTGATTGGATTTTAAATTGAAGTATTACCCATTTATTTTTTTTTTGTAAATAAGCTTATTTAAAAATTTTTGTTACAGATGAGCTCAATCACATTAAGAATATAAACACCAAGGATAACTACCTGCTGAGGTTTCTGTATTGCACGGATTTTAATACACAACTAGGTTTTGCAAAGGTAAGTGTATAGACAGTCATCTAACATAACTGAGCAATTTATTGTTACCGTTATATGTAATAGACTGTAGACTATTCAAAAATGATGCTGAGTATTATGTCTTTTTATCTAAAGCTTTATTAAAAAAATTTAAAACCTGGTTAATTTACAGTGTGGTGTGAAATGCTGTTGTTTATGTTCAAACTGGTGGCTAGGTTTTATTTGATGTTCCCAGAAAATTAGTTTTAATCTATCTCGCGACAACTTCTGTCTAGCTATGGAGACCTGGTCAAAGAAGTGAGAGATTAGGTACAAAATTCCTGGAATCTCTATCAGATAACAACTACATAGCAGAAACCTTAAGAAGGCAGTTAAAATATAGACTAATAGAGCAGCAATTATATCTACGCAGGTACTGGAGAGACCATATGTAGACCATAAGTAGAATGAACGATGAGAGGCTCACAAAAATTGCAAGGTCTGTAAAACCCAATACATCGAGACTACTTGGTAGATCTCCAAAACGATGGTATGAGATATTGAAGTCATTAGAGTCTCAATACTTAGTTGTATGAATTGTCAAGAATAAACAACACTCAGTTCTAAATTAAGATTAAGATGAAGAAGATTAGTGAATAAGTCTAAAACCAGTCAAAGGGGATCCTTGAAATAGCGGACCAATATCTTGTGTCCACCTAATATATAAAACTAATATATAATAATATAAACTCTAACTAATATATATAATATAAACTCTCTCTCTCTTTCTTTCTCTCTCTCTCTCTCTATCTCTCTCTCTCTCTCCCTCTCTCTCTCTCTCTCTCTCTATATATATATATATATATATATATATATATATATATATATATATATATATATATATATATATATATATATATATTCAGGGATTTTACTGTTTTTTGTCTGCCTTTCCTCGCGCAACCGTTCCCATCTCTCTCTGTTGTCCCATTCTTCATTGTTTAGGGCTGTCTTACTCATGGCGTCGTCTACTTCATTCCTCCAGGGTCTTCGGGTTCGTTCTCTTTTCCTTCTTCCTATGGGGCTCCATTCGGTTCTCTTTATCTATTTGCTGTTGCTAGTTCTTCTTACATGTCCATACCACTTTAGTCTTTTTTGTTCTATATATGTTAGTATGTCTGTTTCTATTGATGTTCTTTATTTTGTCATTACTTCTCCTATCCATTCTTGTTACTTTGCAGTATCTTCGCAGGCATTCCATCTCTGTTACTACTATCTTACTGCTGTTTTTCTTATTTATAATCCAGTTTTCGGCCCCATATGTCATAATACTTCGCACTAATGTTTTATAAATCTGTGTTTTTGTCTTCATATTTAGGTTTCCATCCCACTATACTGAGTTAAGTTGTCAATATTGCTGTTCTTGTTTGTCCTAATCTTTGTGTAATTTCTTCTTTTTTTGTTGCCTTTTTCGTGATTATAAACCCCAAATATTTGAATTTATCCTTTCCTATGATTGTTACGTTGTTATCAATATGTAGATCTTCTATGTCTTCTTCACTTGTAGATTGCTACTCTGTTTTCGCGATATTAACATCTAGGCCTGCCTTGGTATATTCTTCTTGTAGTTTCTTCATCACGTAGCTGAGGTCGTCTTCGTCTTGTGCAGTCACTATTTGATCCTTTGCAAAGCTTAACGTGTATAGGTATTCGTTCAGTACCGGTACTCCCATGCCTCTGCATTTTCTTTTCCATGTAGTCAAGGCTTTCTCTAGAACTAAACTCTACACGTGTTTAAACATGGTATCTATTATTTATCTTGGTTTGGTTATTTATATGGAGAATTTAATATAAACTATAAATTTTACGACTTGATTGTAAATAAACCTACCAAATTAAATTTCATTTTAGATAAAAGACTATTACGAAAACATAGTAGCATATCCAAAATGGTACTCCACAGATCCTCCTATTAAAATAAAACCACTTATAGACAAAAACATTAGCGTGATCGTCCCTGCTTCTGTTGATAAAGATGATAGACCAATTTACCTTTTTAAAGTAGGTAAGGGAAAATGTTTACAATACAATTGTAAAATTACAAACAAAGTACTGTAGATTTTGCGTATTAAATTTTGATATGTAGATATTTAACTGAAAGTTAAACTGAATATAAAATATGTGAATATCTGTTTGATATTTGAACTGATTGCTATTTTTGCATGATTGGCGTTTATACCTTTTAAATATTATTTGCTAGTTAATTTTTTCTTGTTACAGAAAATTGTTGACATTCTTTTAATGTTTAAGGATTAACCTGCTGATGCAATGGTTGCATGCAAATTAATTGTTAGATTCCATAAAAAAGTTGTTTGTAAGCTTAGCTCCCCCTTACAAAATTGGATTACTTTATTTAAATCCTTCTTAAGTTTTGTTCTTAAAATCAACCTGCAATTTATTTCTTTTTAGTACGACTTACTTTATATTTCATGAGCATATACATATTACAGATTTAAAGAAAGTCTGACTGTGTCTTATGTAAGTCTAGAATTAAAAAAATCTCTTATTCTAACTTTACTGTAGTAATCTTTTTTTTTTTAATTGTAATAATATAATCTAATATTATTTTAGGCAATGTCGATATACAAAATATATCTATACAAGAAATCTCATTCCTAGATGATATTTGGTTTGAATATTTATTGGAAAGTGATCCTCATCTATCAGGGAAAGGCATCTGCATAATAGTTGATTTTGAATACGTAACCTGGAAGTTCGCTAAGTGGTTCAACTATCGAAATGTAAAGATAGGATTTAAAAAGTTGGCATTAGTACCATTTAAAGAAATCAAAATTCACTTTGTAAATAATTCAAAATCAATGAAATATTTTTTAAAACTTATTGTATCCTGCGTGCCTGACGAAATTAAGAAGCAGGTAAGTTCTTTTTATTCTTATTTCGTAAAAATAAATGGTTCTGCAATAAAAGGGAACTAAAGTAATTTTAGACCAATAAAGCGTTTTTCTTTAAAATCCTGTTTTTATCATAAAATTGTCATAAGTTTTATTTTACTTTTGCCATTCTGTTACATATGCTATCCTTTTTTGGGCAGTCACTATATTAAATTTAGCATACAAAACTGTGAATTTTTTTTTTTTATTTTGGTTCTCGTTGTTTTTAATATATTTGCCAAAGTTGTTTATTCTACAACTGGTGTCTTTCTTATTTGTTTGGCAATTTTTGTTGATATCTCGCCTGTATGTGTAATCGAGCAGAAGGTACTGTGTTTTTTGGCTGGTAAAGGAAATACTAATTTTACGGCGTTCTTATTTGGTTTTTGATTCAAAATTTTATTAATTTGAAACCACCAGAAAAAACCCAGTACCTTCTGCTCGATTATATAGACAGGCAAAATATCAATAAAAATAGCTAAATACACAAAAAATAAAGGAATAACACCAGCTTGTAAAACAAACAACAACTTATTTAAATATATTAAAAACCACAAACGTCAAAATAGAAAGCACTTAAGCAGTAGTGTATACCAACTTAATTGTGGCGACTGTCCACAAAACTTACAACAGTCCAACTAGTTGAACTTTTAATAAACGTATAGCAGTACATAAAATGCTTTACTAGTAGAGAACCAGATTCTGCCTACGCACTTCACTTTCTAGATGATAATCATTTTTTAATGAAGAATTTTAAATTGTTCATATCCAAAATAAAGTTATTTTGTTGTCTTTATTAGAATCTATAAAAATTAAAAAATAGAGACTTAATTCTGACTAACCAACTTGAGAAAAACAGTTCTCTCCCTCTCAAACCATTCAGTTAAAGTCACTGAATATAAACTAAATATAAAATATAAACACATACCAAAAATACATTACTTGAGAAAGGCACTCTACCGAAACAGCTGTAGTGATAAGATGTTATTATAAATTTTGTGAAAATTTTGAAAACGAAGTTTTGAGTGTATTTTTGTTATATAAAATGAATTTCCATCAAATAACAATCAAATCCATCACAAACTATATTGTCTTTAATCTTCACCCGTGGTTCCCAACCCACAGATGTCTGCGGACCACTCAGACTGAAGTGAATTACCAAAGAACAACTATTACATCATTACACATAATATCTTATCAGTTATAAACAAACTCAATGATAATTAAATTAAATAACTTTTCAAAAACAAACTATTATTATTAATTAAGAAACATATTTTTTAATAAGTTTGTAAGAACAATATTACACACTTATTTAATTATTTTTCATTAACTAAAGAATAAATAATTAACTTAGTAAGTAAAGAACAGCAAAGGAAATTAATAAACTTTTTTAATGTGACACGCTGAAGGATTGTCTACTAATTAACCCATTTAGCTGATTGTTTTTAATTAAGAATAACATAGACAACTCCTGCGCACACAAAAAAGTGGTTCGAAATATCCTGATTTATTGCAAATCTGCTTGCCTAATCTTCGTAAATGGCAAAGCTTTCTTACATCATAACTCTCATAGCTTTACACCAGATTCTAAAAGGTGCTTAAAGCTATTATTAAAGCTTTTATCTATTAAGAGCCTTTATCTATTAAAGCTATTATATTATATATTATTAAAGCTATTATCATATTTGAAGTTCGATAGTCTTCTATTCAGTACTGTCAGAAAGATCTGTCTTATTACTTTAATACTTTGTGAAATAACGGTCAAGTTACTTTTTAGGGTGCCTAAGGCACTGAGTACTTCATGCTGTACCTGGTCTGTAACAGCAGCATAATCCTAATTGTTATCAAAAGCTTTTATAAAGTCGAGAACGATTGAATGTTGTGTTATTTACCTTTGATTTATATCCTGACGCAATTCTACTTTCATGTGATTTGTCAGTCTCTCCCACACCTATTCTCTAATACTAGGTGTTGCCCATCATATCTATATCTTAAAATTTTTACATACTCACCGGAAACTGCTTTCTTATTGAGGTCGTACCGCAGCACCTCTAGAGGACTCTGTACTATAGTTTGTCAAGATTAACCAATACTACATGAAAGTTTATTTCTTGTTGTAGGTATTTCTTCATTAGCTGCCTTATTATGAAAATTGCATCTTCTGTTTTTGACTTACATAGATCTCAAATATTTTCGGATATTTTATTATCGAATCCACTTATCACTTATTCTCTCTCTCTCTCTCTCTCTCTTTTATATTTTTCTGGTGTTATTTTATTAGTTTTATAGCACTGCAGTTTGTGCGTTCTTTAATACCTCATTTTTTGTACGCAGTACACGATATTGCTTACCTATTTATCTGGCCTGTCTCATATTTCATTATTTTTATTAAATAAATATTGTTTATCGTATCGTAAGGTAAATCGTGTGTTATCCACACGTCTCCAACTCCAGCATGCTAAACTCTTGCTATATTGGTAAAAGTTATCTCTCATTTATATTATAAATCCTTTTCATGACCCAGTTCTTTTTTTGTTCTGTATTTGCCATAAACAAACATTTCTTCCTATTTGTTTATCATTCACCATATTTGATGTTTTTATCCTTGCCAATATTTTTCAATATTTTGGTTTCGTTCCCCTTTATTATCAAGCACACACAGTTTAAGTTGTGGGTTTCATATAACCAAAAGCACATCAATATCTTTCAACTTTTTAGAATTTTTCACTAAAATTTTCCCTAATGGCCGTTTAACAGTAAGTAAGAATTTTTTGGTATGAGCTTTAGGCAAGACAATTAAATAGGCGTTTTTTTGGTTTGAAAATCTTAAATTTATAATAAAAGTTTATTAAGTATTTTAAGTCTGATAAAAACTCTAAATATTGACAATAAATTTATAGGATTTTATTGATTTAGTACTGTGTTTTTGATTTTTGTTATAACCAAAGACTATCTTTTTTCTTGGATACTGAAAAGCAAGAATCTGTTTAAAACTTTTTCTTATGGTGCCCCATCCAATTAGTGGATGTTGGCGAATATTCTGGCATACTCCTCTCGATCTTGTGTGACTCTAAAGAGTGCATGTGCATCAAGGTTTGTATAATCCTCTATGTTTTTAAGCAATGAGTATTTCTTTCTTCCTATGCCCCGTTTTCCATCTATCTTCCCTTCCATAATAAGCTTTAAGAACTGGTACTTAAAATTTCGAAATATATGACAGAGATAAGCAGTTTTTCTGCTTTTTATTATTTGCATCAATTCTCGTTCTGTGCCCATTCGATTTAATACTTCGACATTCGTTGTGTAATCTGTCCAGGGAATTTTAAGTAGTCTTCTAAATACCCACATTTCAAAGACCTTCAATGGGTTCATCAAATTGGCCTTTATGGTCCAGATTTCTACACCATATGGCAGTATGGAATAAATGTAACACTTTACAAAGCGATATCGAAGCGTTAAGTTAAGGCTGCGGTTTCTTAGCAAGGTTATAAGGGTCATATAAGTAAATGCTGTTCTGGCTTGCTCAATCCTGCTACGTATTTCTATGTCTGGATCTAAATCTTTAGTTATCCTACTACCGAGTTATCTGAACTTGGGGACCTTTTGGATGGTCTTATTGTTAACTCTTACATTTAATTGCATATTTCGTGTTCTACTAACCACCATTACCTTCGTCTTGTCTATATTAATCTTCAAGCCTAGTCGTTCTCCTTCAGTGTTTATTCTATCTATCAGTCTTTGTAGCGCTTCTTGGCTATCAGCTATTATGACTGTATCATCAGCATAGCGATGATTACTAATAGTATGTCAGTTGATTTTGATTACGTCTTCAGTTTCACTTAAGGCTGTATCGAAAATCTTTTCAGAGCAAACCGTTTAAAATATTGTTTATAATATATCAAAACATTAATATTTAATGGTTTTTATTATTTCAGGTGCATTTTCATTTTTCGGATCAAGAAACCTTAGCGAAACATATCGATAAAGACTTTCTTCTCCCTGAGCATGGCGGATACAACAAAATAAACTATACAAGAATATATAAAAGTCTTTTTGAAATAAATGATGTAATAGCTTCTAATTTAAATATGAACAAAAACGACACTAATAGCTAGAAATCAATACATAATAGCTGAAATATGTTTCTTTGTAAATAAATTATTGTTACGTTACTTTGATTCTTTATTTTGTAATTTAAATTTGTAATAGCAGTAAGTAAAATTAAATAAACTGTAGAATAATATATCCCTTACGCTCCATACACTCACAATAATGGTAAGCGTCTTATTATAAGTGACAGTTTAAAATATCATTTTGCACCAGTTGCTCCTCTACGACACGATAGTGGGTGCACGTCGTGCCTATCATATTACTGTCGCGGGAGATTACCGAAAATTTGCTTAGGTCCGTAGAATATTGTTCAGTAAATGGTAACGACTTTTTGTCAAGTGTGTTAATATGGCTTCTAGACGTAAGTACACATTTTTATTTGTTTTAAAATATTTATTTTGGTGGATAGTCGTCACAAATTGTGTATGTGTACCTATTTAGACAAAATCATTCAATACTAATTTGAGGTTAGTTACAAATCTACAAACGTGTTTTGAAGAACAATACGTTTGTGAGGGCTAGGAGTGAGCGGTGTCAATTTAAGTTTTGAAGTATTTCACGCTTATTTGAGCCGGGAGTAAATGGTGTAACAATGCAAAAAAAATAAATAATGATTCAGTGAACAAAACTGGTAACAAAGATTTCTTTTTCAGGAACAACTTTAGTCTGTACAAGATGATGAGGTTAAAGAAAGTGATGAAAGTGGAGACGAAACTGATTCCGCAGTTCCCAGTACAAAATCTCTAAAAATCATCAATGCTAAATTGGGGTAGAACGAATCTATTTGAAAATGAAAATATACCTGAAACAATATTTCCAGATCTCACTAAAGTTTTAACACCATGGTGTTACTTTGAAAAGTATTTAGGAAACTTATTTTTTTAACTGTCTGCAGAACGTACTGCATAATTTGATTTTCAAAAACACGAAAGGGAACTTAAACCCAAAGTAACTCCTGAATAAATAAAAAAAACTTTTTGGGATCCATGCTGTGATGGGTTATTTAAAATTCTCTCGAATTCATTTATATTGGAGCAGTCGCTTTAAACTTCCTGTAATTGTGAATGCAATTCAAAAGATAGGTTGTGCCTCTTGAGAGTCAATCTTGATAATGTGAATGTATGCACGGTAACAAAAGAAATTAAAAAAATAATCGTCTGTGGAGAGTTCAGCCATTGATCGATTTAGTCAGAAGCCGATGTTGGAAATTAAAGAGAGAATCTGAAGCTGCATTCTCAATAGACGAACAGATGATTCCGTTGCTTGGTCGATGTGCTTTTTAAATACAAATCAAAAGATATTATTAAAAATTTATTATCCTTTCGCTTAGAACTAGTACGAGCCTGAAGACGAAGTAAAATCACAGCGACAATTTAAAAAAAGATCACGCTCTGTCATTATATCGGACTATTGGTTAAATGAGCAACAAAAAAAGAAAACCTGCGGTAATATAAAGAACAACTGAAAGAAAGCAGAAAGCGAGCTCGAGAAGAAAAACAAAGGCAAAAAATTGAAAAAGAAAAGAGTTTTAAAAAATGCAGAAAAGGAAATAATCTGCCTGAAATTAAAAAATAAAAGTCGGAAAAAAAAATTAGTTGGAAGTGCTTCAAATATAATGCGACCTGGAAGGACCAACATTTCTTCGAAAAAAAGGCAAAGTGGCTTAGTTGTGCGCGTTGTGAAAATAAGGTACACAAAATTTTTGTCCCTTCTAAGTGTACAGTGACAGTTTAGGACTTGCTTTAGACTCTTGCTTTAGACGAAGATGACTTTGTGAAAAGTGTAAAATTACTGTGAATAGTAATGATACAGCTGACGGTTCAGAAGGAAAAGAGGACTAGTTAATTATACTTGACATTTAGATTCACTTAGTTACTTATATCAGACCAGTTAAAATAATGGTGTCCATAACTGAGTACGCAACTGTACATATTAGGATCGATTGAAAATATCGATGTCCAATACTGGAAAAAAAAGCATTAGTTAATATCAAATACATTTTCTTTTATTTTTTTTTAAGGTTAGTTAAATAACTACTGTAATAATTAAAGGCAGTCTAAACAACAAACAGGTATGTAAAGTTTATAAAATATTTTATTATTAATAATTACCAGTAGAAAAAGATAATTTATAATGCTTAAAGTATCCAAGATTGGTTCCATTACCATATATACAGTGCCTAATTCAGAGAGAATTGAAAATTTTCTTGAAATCAATTGTTTAAAATGAATGACGAACAGGCCGATCAGTCTTACATAATTTCTGTTAAAATCGGAAGAAAAAAATTCTTAAGAGACATATTAAAGAGGAGCCATTGAGGGATTATCCTCTTAATGCAAACCAGCAATACTATCAAGAAAGAAAGAACAGAAACAGCACTGGACAGAGTAGTTGAGAAAATCAATAACTCGATTATATTATAGTACTTATATTCAAAAAATTTAAGAAACTTATTAAGTAATTCATTTTTCTTAGAGATCTATTCTAATTTTGCAAAGAAAATAATTTTGGGAATGGATCACTAGAGATTTATAGATTAAATTTGTTGAATACAGAACAAAATTATTTGCCTTTCCAATTTTAATTTATTTTATTTTAGCCAGAAATTACAAATTATGGGTAAAAAACAATTGATTATTAAAATATTTCGTAAAATCGAAAGGGCCTCGAAGAAAATAAAAAGTAATACATGATGTACTAGAAATCACTTTTCCCAATGTAGGTACATTATATATATGGGCAATCAATCTTTTTATTCAATCTCAGTTTTTACTACTTTCGCACTTCGCGCAGTGAAAAAACTCGTACGTTTTCCATTTTTTACCTTACTTTCAGAGTTTCCCGTATTTCTCTAGTAAATTATTCATTCGCTTGTTTTATATTCAAGCCACGGGTTTGCACAATGCGTAGATTTAGAAAAAATAATCCATAAATCTGGTCTATTAACACCACAGGAGATTTTTGATGGTCAAAAGAGCCGTAAAGACAACTCATAAAAAATATGTAATGTAACTAACTGAATTTGTAATAAATACGAAAAGTTTCTGTATAGAAATCGACACAGTTACATATTTTATCAATAAATGTATGGTTTAGGTTAAACACATCACAAAAAAGATAATGTATTTATTATTAAAGATTTCTGTGCGTTATCGTTTGAAAAAGCTTTCACTTATATAGAGGTTTAAATCTTTGTAAGTAGGTACATTTAAAAAACCCTTAAAAGGGCTACATAAAAATACCGTTTTCGGAGTAATATTTCCATCGGTAGTGATTGAAATGTTGACTAAGGTTAGAAAAGCAAAATGGTTATACTTACAGGTTAACATGCCTGAGGCACCAAAATATTAGGGTAAAACCCTTTGCAGTAATTAAAGTTACCAAAGAATGTGCATATTGTTGTTAAAAATAAATGATGTATAATATTTTATTAAATTTTATTTCAGGCAACATATAACCATGCCTTACGTGAGTACCAGCGTCCGGAGGGTAGACCTGATCAAACGGACTTCAGCTGGTAACTGATTGACAAGATACCTATGAACGGTGTCGAAAACAAAATGTCAATGCATCGTGCAACAGTGTGAGTTATACATAATATTACTGGGGCCAACCGATTCAAAAGCTTTAGTGATTTTAAAAATGATAACAGCAATTCAAGTGTTGGGATTTAAAAAGTTTTCTTATTATTGAATTTTGGATATAAAAGATGTAAAATGACCGATGAAGGTAAAGGTCATGTTTAAGAGAATGACGTATGCATTGGCTTCAAGCTCACCTTTGATCATAATTGATCGTCCCATCAATTAAATTTACTCCCCCCATAGTGTACTTTTTAACAATGTTTGTTCTAGGTATCTCAGCATGTCGGGAGTCCTTTTTTAACCATTGCTTACATTCATCTGAAGGTTCTATTTGTAACGCAGTTAATGTTTGGATATCTGATTTCATATCAAATCCTAAATCTTACATCTTTCTCAGAAGACTCACGACCTAATCGACTCATCTCCGTGTACGATGTTACATGAACTGCTTTGGGTATTCTGGATCTGATTATTGTACTAGTTAACAAAATATTTTTAAATACTAAATACTAAATAATAAGAACAAAATTAATAAAGAAATTGGCTAGGTTGATAATATCATAAGGAACATCTAATATTTGCAACCATTTATTAGTGAGTTATTAAAATGAATCGAAATATACAATTCTTCTCCTAGGGGTACCATTATAGAGATGGAAATAAGTTTTTATATGTAAGTACCACAACACTCTGAACATGTGTTAATTTTCATTGTAGCTATAATATAAGGAATGGGTTCTCTTTTCAAGAGTACTAGTTTACTTTCGCCACCTTGCTTGCACTGCCAAAACATCTTCTTTGTACATGTTCGCTATGCCTAGTAAAGATGTGACTGCTCCAACTCGGTTGGAGGTTTCAAGTATTTCATGTTCTTATTCTCAATTTAATTTGTCTTTTGCAGAGTCGTCGTCGTAAGTTTTGTACAGGTAACAGTTCTCGTGGGTCCGTCACATAGAAGTTTTTTCAGGAAGAGGTTGTTGACCTCTAGCCTAATCTCTAACCTGAAGGGCAAGGACTTTCTGCTAGGGCTGCCATACATTAGTCTGTCTTTGTTCGTCGTAGTATTTTGTGTCCCACCTAACTTTCGGTTCTAAGATCGATTAGTGTTCTCTAAAAACCACTTGCACACACGTCCGATAAGAGACAGACAATTCCACATAAATATTATTGCCAACGTCACTGCCAATAATCAATAGTAATACGTAAAAGAGGATGGAGAAAAAATTTGGATTTTAACCAACACATTATTTATTTTACGATTTTCTTATTCAAGTTATTTTAGCAGTACACTTAAAAATTATTTAGTTTATAACTGTGATGCACGTTTTGTATTTATTGTGTCATTATTACCTCCTACAAATTGGAACTCAATTTTTATTTCAGTCGAAATTTTTACTCCCAAATTATATTGGTGTGTAATGCAATTGATGAATTAGAAAATAGCATAAGAGCGAAAATTTAGACATTCCAAATTATTC